ATCTACAAAATTATTGTACAACGGTGGCATAAATACTATATCAGCAATGACATAAATAATAATAGTGTTTTGGCCTTAATCAAATACTAAGCACTATCTTAAAACTGTTTTCAATGGGACCTGAATAGACAATTAACTAGAATATGAATATTTTTATATTAAAAAGTTACAAGACTATATAGAAAAAACTAAGTAAAATTTATGGTTTAGCCATTTAATTATTCATTATATTTTTTAATTTACAAAAAAATAAAATTAGATTTATTTTTATGGGACAAAGTAACTAAACTTTACAGAATTTCGTGATAAGTAAAAATTCATTAATCTTAAAAATTGCATATTTAAAATTAAATAAGACTATTTCTTTTGAAATGAAAATTTGATGTATCTAACTTTTTTATTTCTAATAAATGCCAATAGACAGGCTTTCAGTAAATACTGTTCCACATTATCAGTAGCTAATTGCCTCACATTACCATTAGCAAATTGTCACGAGTTCATATGCCATTAGCAAATTGTCTCGAGTCATGCTGCTTTTGTCTCAAATTTAATATTTATTTGACTTTGCGATGAAAATTAGAAAAATTATTTTTAGTTAATTTATTGATTTTGCTCAAAATTTATTTATATAGAATCATTATTTTTAGTTAATATTTATTATTGTGGATGGAAATTAATAGAGGATAACATAAACAACCAAAAACTGTAAATATTTATAAGATGGGTCCCGATGATAAAGAAGTTGAGTAGGAGAAGAATAATCAAGATTCGTGCTCGGAATAATGTTCAAAAAATAAGTAGCCATTTGTAAAGCATGATGCCAAAAAGAAGGTGGCATGGATGAATAAGAAAGAAGGATTAGAATCATGTTGTTTATGGTTCGTATTTATCGTTCGGCCTTTCCATTTTGTGAAGAAGTGTGGGGACATAAAAAACGAACAACATGCCATTTTTATGACAAAATAGCTTGAAGGACTAATTATGAAATTCCTTGCCATTATCACATTGAAAACATTTAATGTTTCTCTCAAACTGTGTTTTGACGAGAGCACTACAGGAAAGGAAAATGTTATACGCCTGTGACTTTTTGCCAAGTGGAAAGGTTCATAAAAAATTAGTGCAATCATCCAAGAACAAAGCATAATATTTATGTCCAGCCGAACTCAAAACAGGAGAGGTCCATAAATCACTATGTATTATATTAAATGGCATTAGAGTGCAAGAAGAAGAAGCAGAAAAAGGCAGCTTAACATGTTTCCCAAAAACACAGGAATTACAAACTGAAGAACAAGAAGAAAGTTTACGATCAATAAACTTGTTTTTGCTAAGAGAATTTAAAATAGATGTTCCTGGGTGTCCCAATCTATGATGCCATAAAGCAGAAGATAAAGCAGCAAAAGGAGATAGAGAATGAACTGGAGAACTTGATATAGGATAAAGGTCCCCAATGCTATTACACCTCATTAGTGGCATCCCCGTCCATAACTCCTTCACAGAAAACCCAAAAGGATCAAACTCAACAGAAACTCTATTATCAATAGCAAAACGACGCACTGAAATCAAGTTTTTAATGAGTTCGGGTGCATGGAGAACATTGGTTAAATGTAATGGTGGGTGTGGTGGGGTGAGAGATATGTGTCCCTAACCACGAATTGGAATTTCCTGTCCATTGCCAATAATTATATTATTATTATTGCTCACATTAAAATAAGACGAGAGAGTACTTGGAGATGATGTCATATGCGAAGTGGCTCTTGTGTCCATGTACCAAGTCTTTTGAGGAGGATTAAGAGACATGGTTTGCATTGCAGCATCAATATCAGTAGGTTCATAGCTAGAAGGAGACGCTTGTGCAGCATCTGCTTGTTATGGACGAGATCCTAGAATTCTGGACTATCGTGCAGGTGGACGTGTCCAAAGAGTTGTTGGATATGGACATAGTGGTGCAGTCCAAGCTTGCTGAACCTATGAGTGCCATAGTGGATAGGCAGACCACAAATAAAATGGTGGTTGCTGCTGCCAAAAATGCTATTGCCCCCCTATTGATGTCCATTACTATTGTTATTGCCACCACAATCTGAATTCTGGACTATCGTGCAGGTGGACGTGTCCAAAGAGTTGTTGGATATGGACATAGTGGTGCAGTCCAAGCTTGCTGAACCTATGAGTGCCATAGTGGATAGGCAGACCACAAATAAAATGGTGGTTGCTGCTGCCAAAAATGCTATTGCCCCCCTATTGATGTCCATTACTATTGTTATTGCCACCACAATCTCTACAACGACCGCCATTGCCTTTTCCTTTATTATTGTTTCAAGGCTGACCTCGTATCTGTCCGTTATGGCTATGGTTGTACTGATTACTTGAGCCACGATTTGAGCCACGACTGGAGACAGAATTGTCATCCGAACTACCAGTAGTAAGAAGAGTAGTTCCAGCAGCGTTAGAGGCTGTGGCTGTTTGCTTAGCTTTGCGGGTTTCCTCAAGGATAAGCCTTAAACGTGCCTCATAAAATGCAAGCAATGGATCACTCTGTTGAATGAAAGTAGCGACACCATCGTAATTCTCATTCAATCCCGCAATTAATTGGAGAACTAACCTTTGATTTGAGACTAGTGCACCAACATTTGAAAGTTGATCAGCAAGCATCTTAAGTTCCTGATAATAAGCAGAAATGTTTGAAAAATCATCAAGATGAACATGAGTGAATTGATTTTCCAGATAAACAGCATGAGAATTTTTGTTATCTCGAAAAATATTTTTCAAACGTTCCCATGCTTTGTGTGCAGTTTTATTCGACTCTAGGATGGTGCTAAGAAGATCATTAGAAATCGTGCCATAAATCCATTGAAGAAGTATGGCGTCTAATCGTGACCATAACTCAGGATCGACTTCAGCTGCTTGTTCTTTGCCTTTTTCAGACGGCTTTGGTGGAATGAGATAGTCAATCGCCTTATATGCACGACAATGGATTTTAAAAAGGATTTTTAAAAAGTTCAGCCCATGAGGAATACTGTCCTTTTTTCCATCTCAAGAGTAATGGGCATGAAATTTTGACATTGAATAACAGCAGAGGGCTGGGTGAAAATCAGTTTTGCCTGGCCATCTAGGAGAAACGAAGAGAAGAGAAGAGATGAGAAGGAAGAGAAATTAAGGAATTGGAAAAAAAAAAAGGCTCTGATACCACGAAGGAATCATCCGTGTTATTTTAATAACTTGTATTCTTATATACTAATATGTCACCTATAATCTCGGTAACTAACTATAGCTATAACATTGAACTATTTTAAAATAATAAGAATAAACATCAATCTATTTACATACTTTCCTGTCACGAGTTCATATACTATTAGCAAGGTGAAAATCAGTTTTGCCGGCCATCTAGGAGAAAAGAAGAGAAGAGAAGAGAAGAGAAGGAAGAGAAATAGGATTGGAAAAAAAAAAAAGGCTCTGATACCACGAAGGAAATCATCCGTGTTATTTTAAATAACTTGTATTCCTTATATACTAATATGTAACCCTATAATCTCGGTAACTAACTATAGCTATACAATTGAACTATTTAAAATAATAAGATAAACATCAATCTATTTACATACTTTCACTGTCACGAGTTCATATACTATTAGCAAATTGTCTCGAGTCATGCTGCTTTTGTTTCAAATTTAATATTTATTTGACTTTGCGATGAAAATTAGAAAAATTCTTTTTAGTTAATTTATTGATTTTGCTCAAAATTTATTTTAATAGAAAAGTGCCATAAAATTCAACGAGTCTTTTTAAATGGTACTTATTTTTCTCGAATGTACATTATATGTTATTTATACTTGTTGATTTTTAAACGTTGCATTATATATATAATAAAAATATATGAAGTTTTGTATTACTAAAATAGTAAAAAAAAAGTTACAAAATAAAAAAAATGAAATTAAGTAATTAAATAATTTGTCAAGAAAATAACATATTTCTAATAAAATATTATTATAATTTGACAATTAAATTTCTATGAAAATAAAATTATTTACCAATCAATTTAAATTCTCTTAAAACAATATATAATATAATTTCTCATTTTATCTAATATAATTTAGTTTAAATATAAAATTAATATAATCAAAATTAAATTACTTTTATTATTTCAATCAATAAAAATTAAAATCAAGATATTATATTATTACCAAATACATTTTATATAGTATATAATATTTTTTTTATCCAACGAAATTTATATTTAAAGAAAATTAATACCACCAATCAAAATTAAATCATCTTTATTTTTCAACCTAACAAATTAAAATTTTTAATAATATTTTTATCAATCTATAAATTTAGTAGGAGTATTTCTAATAATCTCAATGTTCCTCCACTAATTTTTATTTTCATATATAGATAGATTATAGATTATTAAAAAATAAAATCTTTAATTTGTCGACATTCAGTTATCAGTTTATAGAAAAATATACTACCTCCGTCCCAAAAATATTCAGTTATCGGTTATCACATTCTATTTTCATACAGATTAAGAAATATAGTTAAAAGACAATTTTATTTATATAATTTTCATATTATGTTCATTTTAAATAATACATAAGTATTGAAATAATAATTAAAAATTAATGAGGGTTATTAAAACTAAAGTAATTTAATAAAGATATAATAAACAATTTAAGAATTAATTATAATGTAAAAAAAAAAGTGAATTATATTTTATAACAAATAAAAAAAGAAAGATGGACGACGGGAAGGTACTATTTTCAAAATTTTAAAACAAAAACTTATGAAAATTAAATAATTATTGGTTTTCAAGAGGGTAGCATGGTAAACTCAGTTTTAAAGTGGCATTTTGGTAAATGCAAAATACACCGACCTGCTAAGCAAGTCAATGCTGGGAAAAACCGTCACCTGGCAGTGGCACAAGCGCACATGGTAGGCATAGAAGAGCTCAAAGTTGCAGAGAGAGAGAGAGAGGGCGGTACGAGATTCAAATTCATTTTAGACAGTTGGAGGAGAGAGAAAGTCCCATTGCTTGTATAAATATTCATTTCCATCTCATTTCTTTGCTTTTAAAATAAAACATAACAAGAGAAGTAGAGAAGTAGCTACTACTCCTCTCTCAAAAGCAACCCAAACAACAGAAGCTTCCAGATCAGAACTCAATCACACAGTCCAAGCAAAGGATATACTTGTAATTTCTTGCAGATCCGTCCATTCATCTTCTCTCTGTTTTCACAGACAGAGAGGAAAAAGCATTGCAGAAGCTAACTCACTCACTGTGCTTTTTATGACACTTGTAGGGGAGGAGAGGAGGAGAAGAAGAAGGCAATACACCTTTTTTTCTCTCTGCTCTTTGTAACTTTATTTATATATATCTATAGTTATTTTCCAAATCAAAGTGCATTTCCTTCCCTTGCTTGCTAAAATTAGGAAGGTTGATTAAAGAAAATAATGGAGAGGAGCACTCCGGTTAGGAAACCACACACTTCTACTGCAGATCTGCTCACGTGGTCGGAGATTCCGCCGCCTGATTCCCCCGCCGTTGGCTCGGCTCCTCGCTCCGCCGCTCGCTCTCACCAGGTAACTTCATTCTGATTTTTTTTTTTTAAATAAATTCTCAGACAATTAGTAGCTGATGTGAGTGGTAATTTTTTAGCCGTCTGATGGGATCAGTAAGGTAGTATTTGGAGGTCAAGTTACGGATGAGGAGTCCGAGAGCTTAAACAAAAGGTAAGATCTGCATCTGCTTCTGTGTTTTTTCTTTTTTCTTTTTGTGTTTTATTTTGGTGGTAATAAATGCAGAGACAAACTGACATGTTAACTGAATTTGTTTTCTTGTGGCCGTTTTTTTCCATCTTATTTTTTGTCTGTAGCTTTTCTTCACGCTTTTCACTACTTGTTTGTGCTCCTTATTCTCTGTCCCTCGTTTGTTACAGCTTCAGATATTTTCGGCTTATTTACTTACATGTGACTTGAAATCAAAATCGCTCTCTGTGCATACATTTTGGAATTAATTTCTAACTTCATATTCCCCTCTTTCTAGTTTGATCTCCTTGTACACGCAAATAGATCCCAATATTTAATTTGTAGATTTGGGCAAATATTAATCCCTCTTCCTCTCAATTATTCACTTTCAGTGTTTGGATCTTATCTTGGTTGTTACACATTTGGTCTCCAGCATTTTCTGTGAATATTTATATATGGATATCTTAGACAAGGTTTTGGTATCTATGCCTGCAGTCATATCCTAAACAATTTGATCTTTGGCTATTTCAAGTAGTAATATTCATTTATCAGGATAGTAAAATTAGAACAGTAGCAGTATGCTATTATAGTTCATGTCATCATTTTGCACTAAGCGGCTTTACTGTAGAAAAATTTTGGTTTCCTTATGTAATAGCAATTTCAGCTGTCAAATAAAGTACAAATTCTCATTTTATCCTATGTTTTGACGTTTATATTACTTGTGCCTATTCTAATTAAGTACAAGTAAATGGTTTCTTTGAACCGTATATGTGAATATGATCTGTTAGTTGTTTAAACTGTGTAAAGAGTTTGTCATGGTTTATAACCCTAGAATTGTAGGTTTTCTATCTACCATCCATGCCTGCAGTGCAGGATTGAATTCTGGTTTTTGTTTTCATTTTCAATTTTATCTTTTGGAAACAACAAGATATCAAACTTCATTGTCTTCCTCCTTTTCACCCCCTATTATCTCCATCTCCCTAAAGAGTACGCCCAACAGGTTGGAGCCAGTTGATTTAGTTGCAGTGCCAAAATGCTTCTTTTATGTACTAATACTTCCAAAGATTGAAAAAAAGGTGATAACTAAGTTGTTGAAATAGGTTGATGTGAGTGTTATTGTATTTACATACATTAGTTAAACTGTCTCACTTTGCTGCATCTTGTTGAAAATCAAGGTTTTGAGGTCGTGTTTCTTAAGTGTAAGGCTTCTGAATATGTCACCTTTGCTATTTTCAGGAAACCTTGTTCAGGGTATAAAATGAAGGAGATGACTGGTAGTGGCATTTTTGGAGCCAATGGAGAAGACGATACATCTGAATCTGGCACTGCTAATTCCACACCTAATAGCAAAACAGGACTACGCATGTACCAGGTAACTGTTTACATTGTTTCAGAATTAAATTGATTGCTGCAAGCCAAATAAATGAAATTTGGCGTGATGAATTACTGAGTATAAAATAGCTGATTTGTCTGTACTTTTGTGGTCGGAATTTGTCAGCAAACGCTTTCTGGGATCAGTCATATTTCCTTCGGAGAAGAAGAGAGTCTTTCACCCAAAAAACCTGCTACTTTGCCTGAGGTAGCAAAGCAAAGAGAACTGAGTGGTACCTTGGAAAATGATGCAGAGGCCAAGTTGCAGAAGCAGGTTTCTGATGCCAAGTGCAAGGAGCTCAGTGGACATGACATCTTTGCGCCCCCTCCAGAAATTTTACCACGGCCAACAACTGTGCGTGCTTTGGCATTGAAAGAAAGCATTGAATTGGGAGAACCTACCCCACGCAATGTACGCACATCTGTCAAAGTTTCTAACGTGAGTTTTTGTGGATGTATAAACAAATTGTTTTGCTGCTCTTCCACCCTCCCGAAAATAAAGCTGTGCTTTAGACTACAGTCTTTCACTTACACTGGTTGGGAGTGGTTGCAGTTTTTTCATTTTCCTAAGCAAAAGATTATCTGCTGATTGGTACTTCTTGAGTTACACATGCTTTCTGGTTCTGAATGGTTCACATTGTGATCCTAAAGGTTCAAGTAGTGGATAAGATGATGCTACAAATGAAAATGGACTTTGTTTTCGCAAGAACGTGGTAGTTAGCAGTAAGAAAGAACAATACTACAATGCATAATATGGATAGCTAGTCAATAAGAAAATCCTATAAACGGATGCACATTGTTTTCTTTGGTGAAACATCCATTAATCAGAAAAATGTGTTATGCTGGGATATTGTTTGGAGCACTAATTGCACTACTCATTACTGGTGAAAGCTCATAATTTTCTTCATTGTAAGATAGCTTTATATGTGTACACACGTATTAATATGCTGCTGTCTATTGTTCTGTTTTTTCTCTCTTCCTATGAATTCAATGGTCTAATTGGTTTTATAATTTTCTTAAACTTGATAGCCTGCTGGAGGTCAGATGTCTAGTGAGGAAGCTTCGGTCAAGACAGCAAAGAAAATTTATAACCAAAAGTTCAATGAGCTTTCAGGGAATGACATATTCAAGGGAGATGTCCCTCCCTCGTCCGCTGAGAAATCTCTAAGTGTGGCAAAATTGCGAGAGATGAGCGGCAATGACATATTTGCGGATGGGAAGGCAGAACATCGAGATTACCTAGGTGGTGTACGAAAACCCCCAGGTGGCGAGAGCAGCATTGCCTTGGTTTAACTTATTAGGTCTAACTCTGTTATCTCATCCCAGTGCCTGGTTTTGTTCTATTCTTAGTGGAGATGTGTTATATTATATTATTTGACCTTATTTTGTGGGTTTGGGAATTATGTTTAGGCCTTAACATGTCATTCAGTATTGTGAACTGTTCTAATTGGATCGTATGTCCATATTCTTGCGTTTCTTAGTGCTTGTTTAACAAAGTACATTGGGCATACGATAATATATTATTGTTCCAATCCATTTCTAGCCATTCTGCTTGCATAGTTTTACCTCAGTTGCTCTACTTGTGGTTATGACCAGCACTTGAATTACCAGTCTATTGGTATTTTATTATCCTAGTTTCAAGAGTCCTGAGCTTCTATTTTTGCTGTATGGTTTATTGTATTTTAGGATTTTGTGGAAATTCCTTTGCGGGCTTCCGATGGTTAGTGATAAGCTGTAATTTTGTGTTTTCGTTATTATTCTTAATCCAATGTTAATTACTTTTAATATTCGAGTCTATGTGCTTGCATATATTGGTGATTGAGATTTTGATTATTGCAGTAGAATTGTGTTTTTCTTTAGGTTTGATGCTGTGGTGAATTAGAGAGATCCTGTCTTTTGAGGGTGTATAAGAAGATAAAACGGCAGATTATTAGTTATAATTATTCATTAATGAGGCAAATTTGTAATTTTAAGTGCTAATGGCAGTTGGCGAGAATTTGTAACTACAAAGAATTTGATGTGGCAAGTGCGGCTTATAGCCGCTATCTTTCTACAATTTTCTTTTTTTTTTTTAACTTTAACTGCCCTACTGTTTGCCCCAATGTGCTGCTGAAATTTCTTCAATGCCACCTCTGATTCAGTTAATAAATTGCAGGATTCTCAATCCTCCAACCAGAAAGAAGAGAATTACAGAAGTAATAGGAATTGAGGAGGCATAAAAGTTGACAAATGAGCAATAAAAACTTAAAAAATTAATACAAAAAGGCCCAATTTTCACCCGACTCAGTTACAATGTGACAAAATAGAGAGCTAGTGGTGAGGTGGCACTTGGCTTGGGCCTTGTACAACAAGAAACATCGGTGTTGGTCAGTGTTAACAAATTTATTTTTTTTTCATAATTAATAAACGCTGGTGAATTATCGATTCTTTTATAAAATAAAAGATGCAATCTTATGAATAAAAAATTTTTATTAAAAAAATTTATTAAAATACTCAAAGAATATTTCATATTAAAAAAAAAAAATAAAGCTAATCAATTCTTTCTTTTTTTTTATTTTAATTTCAAAAAGAGAGAACTTCAGAAGGAAGGAGATTGTGAACTAAGTCAATATTGAGTGAGAAAATCTTGGTATTCTGTTTTAACTAAAGATTCTGATAACTAACAGATAAAAAAGGTTTACTTAAATATAATCAAATTTATATCTAATCCAATAAGATGCTTTTTTTTTCTAAAAGAAAAAGCTTTTAGTCATCTTTCTATTTCTATTTTGCCTTTTTGTTTTGGTTTTATTTTTTGTTTTGCAATTGTGTGTTGTGCAGTGCCGAATCAGCTTCATTGTAATGGCGTGAGCGTAAACGAGCGTGAACAGTCAGTAACAGACCGTACGGCGTCTCCACCGCCTCACTCCAAAATAAAACTGAAATAAAATTACGAACCCGACCTTACTTACCCACCTATACAAATTCCATTTTTGTTTCTGTTTTCCATTTACATTTTTATCTCACAAGACCCAAATCTCACAAAATGCTTTCTCAAATTCCTTTTGCCACCTCTAATGGCATCATCATGGAAAAGGGAAAAGTTTTATATCTTTTTTAGCTTCTACAATTCGATTTCTGACGTGGGTTTTTGGGTTTTTCGAAAAGGGTTTCGTTGTTTTCTTTAATATTTCTCTGTAACATATTATAACTTGTATTTCTGTATATATTCTAACGTTTCTTTTGATGATGGGGAAGCTGGGTGAGCGAGACAAGAGGATTGTAGAGGATATGGTGAGGGATGGAAACTTGTTTAATGACGTTTCTTATGTGCCATATTATAGTAGTCTTCTTCGTCAGCAGAGGAAGCCGCCTTTTCTGAGTAGCAGAGTCTCTCTACAATCACCAGAGCACTCTTCTGCTTCAAGTTCATTCTCAAATGGGTTTTGTTCACCTGAAGGTGACTCACCATATGCTGAAAGAGAAAATTCGATTATGGATAATAGAAAGAATGATGATGAGTCTTTTAATGATGCCTCAAATGTGTCATATTTAAGTCTTCTTCGTCAGCAAAAGCTTCTCTTGAGTAGTTCTCAAGCGAATAATGTATCTTTGCAATCGCCAGAGCGCTCTTCTTCTTCGTGTCTATTGTCAAACGGGTTTTGCTCAACCGACGATGGTTCACTGTATACAACTCCTTTACCGGAGGACGCTAAGTATCAAACACCTGGTTCTCAATACTGGAATGGACTTTGTTTGGATTCTAAATCACCTCATGATTCTTACAAGGTCAATGGAAGGTTGGAGGATGAAATGGGTTTATCTCAAATTCTGCGAGGAATGAGTGTTAGAGAGGACCAAAATGGTGGTGCTAAAATGAAGGGATTTGAGATGCACTCTGATGGACTTAATGGGATTGGATTGGATGAGGTCTGTTTGGGTGGAAATGTACAATATGATGCCAAAAAATATGGCCCTTTGTGGGGTTTCAACACTGGGGATTTTGATATTGAAGATTTTCAATCCTCTCCTTATACTGGAGTTCCTTTGAATACAAATGATGATATAAACCGTACATTCAACAGTTTGCATGGTGGATTTGGAAAGGACACTTATAATTCAGTGGGGGCTTCTCTTGCTCGTAATCGGTCCAATGATTTGTGTCCTGGCTCTGTTTGGACTAATAACCAAAGTGATTATTTAGTGGAGAGAAGAAAGGAACATAAAGAGCGAGAAACTTGGAATGATTGGGAGATTCAATCGCAACATTCATATGTTACTAGGCCTCACCTTGATGAGCCTTATGGTTTCTGTCAGCAATATAAAATGGATTATAATAGACGCAGGGATGTTATGGATTATGCATTGGGTGCTTCTCAGTCACTGAATCCCAAGTCAGATTTGAATGTTTATGATCCATTGTATAGAGGTTTGATGTTAAAAGAAAAGATCAGAGCACTAAAAAACAATGGGTTTGCTCACTCTCTTACGTCTATGAAAGGTGCAGGGGATATGGAAGCCTTTAACTGTGAGGGTAGTTTCATAATTCAAGGAAAAGGTTTGAATCGTGTAAGCAGCAAGGGAGACAAAAAGAATTCCTTTAGTGAGTTGTCTGTGCAAAACTTGCGTGGGAAAAATATTAATCTAGGCAGTTCTACTTTTCATGGAGGAAGTTGGGAACCTGATCAAAGGCTAGGTAGTTGTAGTCCATTGCCAATGATTCCGGGTATTGACTCCTTGAGTGAGTTACAGGGTAATGTATTATTACTGGCACAGGATCAGAATGGTTGCAGGTGGTTACAAAGAATTTTTGATGAGGGAGCTAGCCGAGATATTCAAATAATATTCAATGAAATTATTAATCATGTTGTTGAACTTATGTTGAAGCCTTTTGGCAATTATGTCATACAGAAGTTCTTGGATGTGTGCAGTGAAGAACAAAGATTGCAGATTGTTTACATGGTGACTCAAAAACCAGGACAGCTTGTTGGGATTTGCTTAAACACATATGGGTATGTCCTTTCTTCTTGATGCTTACTCTTCAATTTTTATAGTTTTGGCACTGAATTACATATCTTTGAACACCTTTTTTGGTATTTTGATACCAGCACTCGGGCGGCACAGAAGTTGATTGAGACTCTAAAAACCAGGCAGCAGATTTCATTAGTGATATCAGGCCTGAAACCTGGTTTTCTTGCTCTTGTCAAGGATCAAAATGGAAATCATGTGATACAGCGTTGCTTGCAATGCCTTAGCAATGAAGACAACAAGGTCCAACTTTCCTCCTCTTTTTATTACCTTGATGTCTTTTAAACTAAGTTATTACATGCTGAATTTATATTTTTATGAAGGTTTTAATTCATGTTGTATCGTTGAGTTAAGTTTAGATGCAACTGGGAACTTGAGAATAGTGATATTTTTAAGGTTCAAAGCTTGTCGTAGATTAACTGTCTAGCAACCAAAATCCTGCTTGACAAGCTAGGCCTTTGTTTTTGTACTTGAAATAAACATCTTCCCTCTAAATAGCAATTTTACTTTCAAGTCAATCGTACTCATTTTCTATCACTGTTTGTAAATTTAAACTATATACAGAGAATGCAATTTATTTTGTGATCTTCATGATGGTGCTTTATATAATTCTACTATAGTAACCTTGGTAGCTAGCAAACCTGACATTGGAAGATAAAATCTACCATACGGATATACATAAGTACTAAGCAAGATGAATTTTAAGGTTTAGTTTGGAGTGTTGTTATAATCACAAGTATAATGATCCAGATGTAAGTAGCCTTTGCATCACAACAAACAGGCATAATATGGTTTTCAATAGTAATATAAATTTTTCTGGATTAGGCCATGAGATAGAACTGCACTTGTGTGTCTAATAATTACCTAAGATTAGTCTATTAGATCATCAAGGAAGAGAAGGTGCATAGAATGCTTGCTGCAATCAGAAAGGTAATTTCATAACATTAACTTTAGATTTGGCAGGTTGGAAATTTTGCAGTATTCAAACTTAGGATCAGGTGTTTCCCACTAGAAGCAATCTGAAGTCATCATGTTTATTACAACTTCAGATCAATAACGGCAGGATGAAATGCATATTTAATCTGACGGGTCAAGTTGTTGATAAATTACTTGCAAAATAATGCATTGCATCTAATGCAGGATGAAATAGCATGTATGAGATGTTTAATAGTGGGCAAAACTTTATAGAGATATGCCCTTTTGAATTGCCTTTCTACAATCTTTGAACTCTTAAAGACCAAACCTTATTTGTTGTTTAGTTGTATGATTTACATAGGTCTCTGGATACATTTGTCTTGAAAGATTCTAAGTTTATGTTTCTGTTATTCATGTTTTGCAGTTCATTTTTGATGCAGCTGCCAAGTTTTGTGTTGAGATTGCAACTCATCAACATGGATGCTGTGTTATGCAGCGATGCATTACACATTCCTCTGGGAAACATCGAGACAAATTAATAAATGAAATTTCAAAAAACTCACTTCTCCTTGCTCAAGATCCTTTTGGGTATAGCATTAAAAGTGCTTTAATCATACGAAGTTTTTTGATTTACTTTTACCTGCACCTCCAATACAATATGGTTGGTGGTTCCAGATAGTTTTCAGATGCCTTTTTCCGTTTTTAGATGTTCTGGTTGCTTCAATCATAATATGTTCATTAACCCAACTCTGTGGAAGTGTTTTATTTGCAAAATAAAATTTTACTTTTGCTACCAGATCATTGCCATATAGGGGAAGTCTAATTCTACATAGATTCAATGATTGAATATAATTTGAACTTTTGCTCTGCTTATACTACTTTTTTCATTTGTTGTTTATGTGAAGATTGACAATGAGCAGTCTTGGTACTGGGGATTGGTGCTTCAATTGTTTTCTTAGACATATATCACTAGTCTTTTTTGCTGTCCTTAAGATCTTTAGATTCACTTTGCTGTTGTGAAAGAATTAGTCAGTTTGCTGTTTGCTACCATGCTCACTAATTGTTCTGAACATTTATGGATACATGATATTGGAATGAGATTAATTTGTTAAGTTGTCAAGTTTCTCAAGCTTTTAGATATTTTTGTTTGGTTCTACAAATAATTTAATGTCAGAATAGGGTCAACTTTTGCAGATTTGAACCAATTTTGATGATTGAACTGATCATTGTTTACTGGAATTTTTCTGTTTTACAACTCTTCTCTTGCTCTTCTGTTTTCCCCACCTGTATGTTCTGTGTTTAACTAAACGTCCCTTCTCATGATAAGGGTCGTGTCTCATATTGGCTGAGGTTTTATTCATCCACTTATCTGTTTACATCACTACATTATTATTTAAGTTCTCTATATGAACAACAATTTGGCACCGTAAATGCTTTCATTTTGTCCTTATACAGGACATGGATTTGTTAAGCTAATCTTGTTTGCTTTGTATATGTGGCAGAAATTATGTTGTTCAATATATCATAGAGCTTAAGAGGCCATCTTCAGTTGTCAATTTGCTTTCTCAGTTCAAGAAGAACTATGTACACCTCTCCATGCAGAAATTTAGCAGTCATGTGGTTGAGAAGTGCCTTAAGCATTTGGAAGAAAGCCGTGAACAAATTATTCATGAATTGACCTCAGTGTCACGCTTTGATCATCTATTGCAAGATCCATTTGCCAACTATGTCATTCAATCTGCTCTGGCAGTTACTAAGGTTTGGAAATTGAAACTGCTTGGTTCATGATGATATTATTACTGCATACAAAATAACCTCCTGATTTTCTTCCAGGGTCCTCTTCGTTCCTTGCTGGTTGAAACAATCCGACCCCTTGTGTATTTACGTACTAACCCATACAGTAAGAGGATTTTCTCGAGGAATGTCCTGAAGAAATGATGTAATACTGGTTTCTGCTAAGAAGTGTTGTTGTGCTGTCAGAGTTACAACCTTGTTCACTACTCTAATAAATAGTCTATCCAGGGTGAGGCACTAGATGTAGAAATGTTATCAGAATTCGCTGCTGGTTGGATGGGAGGAAATGGAAGTCGAAGTTTTCTTCCAATTGTTTATGATGCAGATACAAACTTTGTATTATTCTGTTGTTTTGTTTATCTAAACTTGAGGTGTAATATATTTTTGCACTGTTACAGAACCTTGTTTGAAAGTTTTTTAGTTTTCTTGTAATGTTTTTTATGCCAAGATGTTTTGTGTAATAATATCTCTGTCTGAACATTTAGCATACACAAACTGGTAGCTTTTGGATTGGATAACAGGCTGTTAAATTTGATGGTTTTCTCAACAAAAAAAAGGCTGGTAATATTTGGAAGATTAAACGCAAAGTAGTTAAGAGAGATAAATATTGAAATCAGTGAACTTCAAATTTTAATCAAAAACCTAAGAACAGCCTAAAATATGTGCACCATCATTAATATCTTCAAATTTGATGATAACTGAATGATTTTTTTTTTTTTTGAGCATATTTTGGGTATTGTCCTTATAACATTGCCTGTTCTTTAATCTTTGATAATAGATAACAATAGCAGAATTATTGTTTCCAGTAATCAACAGTTGTGATGAATCTGATAATTTAAGTTCAGGTGCCAAGTAACTAATATTCAGGCAATTTTTTCTTAAACAGTCAAGCAAAAGTGCATCACAAAATCCTTTGAACAGGGAAAACATAGTCATATATTTTATTAAGCGAATGAAAGGTAGGTCAAGTTTTCTTAGACAAAACCATACAACTGAAAATAAAACACATCAAACGACATGTGCCAAGGTGAAACCATAGCCATCATTATTTTGAAACGGACTCACAGCTCAATCCTCCTTATATCCGACAAGTGCCAGCAGCATTTTTTCATAGTCCCCATGGGTATCCTTGATAATGGCCCGATCAAGAGGAACACTGTTCCTTTGCTGGTACTCATCTTTTATAACCTTCAAATCTACCTCTGCTCTTGTAGAAACAACTCTTGTCAGAGCTCCTTCATCTGTTCCTGTTCTGTTGATAGCCAGACGAAGAACCTTCTCAAAATACTTCTCTGGGCGTGTCAAGCACTTCACTGTCGCCCTTACAAGTTGGAGGAATTCGTCCTTGGGGTCGGCTTTCAAGTCCTTCATTCACCATTGCCATTCAAGTATCTCACTTAAATAATTAACACAAATACCAAACTAAAAATATTGGTTCTACCATACCTTGTTGATATCCTTGCCAAAGTCATTTTTGTAGTGATTAAGAGTAGCATTAATCTGTGCTTTGCTCCTTGTAGCCAAAATCCTTATGAAATCATCATCACTGTAAGCCTTCTTTGATATCTTCTCATGGATTAGCTTAGCCTCTGTTTTTGCAAGGCTCATGTCTACATCATCCCCCTCATATCGGTATGAGCACACGAGAGGAAACAATAGCTGGCCAACACAAAAATTATGTGAAAATCCATATATGAATTTACCAAAAACACAGACAAAAAGGATGAAATTGACAAAGGCAAAGAAGGAAAAGTCTAGGATTGCATATTTGGAACTCCCAATTAGTGTTACCGGTCAGGAAGTTATACCTTGCGGAAATCTCCAGTTGTGTGATATGCAACATCCTCTTCAAGAGACTTCTTGTAACGAGCATGATAAGCCTGCCTTGCATGAAACAGGTCATTTGCAGACCTTGTACAGGCAATTTCCATGAGAATCTGATTGCTTGAAGTCCATTTCTTTATTGCCTCATTTGCTAAAACTGCATCACGTTCAGCAGGACCAAGTATCCAAAGCAGCACCAGCCTCTGATCATATAAAAATTTAGAAAAGCATATGAAATCATCAGCCTGATTGTATTTTCATCGATTAAAGCAAATATGTAAGACATTCAAAATCTGACCTCAAAGTCACTCGTGAGTTCCTTCTCCAATGTCTTCAGGAGATCGTCTCCATACATCTCATAATACGTCTCCCGTATTTGCTTGCGTTGAGCAGCATTCCTGTGACCCAATATGGATATGATCAAATCCTCATTTGTCCCCCAACCTGCAATGATATTACTCAAAATTAAACCAAAAATATCGAAGCATCCGAGCCTAGAAGCAATAAGATGCGCAAATACCCATATATGTATTATCCACAGTGTTATGGTCTGATTAGCATATGACATTGATTATTTTTTTTCTAACCATCTTTAGAATGAAATATCTTTCAAACTCTGACACAAAGTGGTTTTTTTGTGAGCCCCAAAAGTTCAATATGCTAATTCATAACGAATGGTCCAAATCAAGCATTTCGTATTCCCGTTCTTTATATTTTATAATCAACGGATTCCTAAAGTAAAAGAAGCTAACTTTTCTATTCCATTTAAAATGACGAGATACTAATACAGACTAAAAATTATTTCCCTCTTAATTAGCTATTTTTTTTAAACAATTAAACATAAGATATGGAACCTCTGTTTAGTTCCGATCATCAGTGTTTTACTTGAATCCAAGCACTCAAATTCCACAATAAATCACAATTCAACACTGATATCAATCACACATAGCAAAAGCCTAAATTTATAAAAGAACTACGGATCAAATGTTCTTAAAAACATTACAGATCGACTATCATTCCAATTTTCAATGACCGATCATCACCAGACCTGATAGAATAATAATATACTTAAAAAAAAAAAGATCCGATCATCAAAAGAAAGAATTAAACCATAAAAACAAGGACGATCAAAACAAGATGAGAACAGTAACGTAAGGATCATAGAAGGAAAACAAAAAATGAAAAATGAAAACCTTCAAAGGCCTTCTTAAGCTGTTCACAGTCATCGGAAACTGGCGGAACTGGTAGAGGAACGTTAAGTGTGGACATTGTTGAGTTGTTATGGATCTCTTTTCTCTCTGCTAACTATCTATGTGTAATGTGCAAACTCGAAAACGAGAATGGGAAGCGGCAGATTATATGGCGTGATATAAATAATTTAATAATACGGGATACGATGGTCCTTTACGTATTTGGCCATATAGTATTCTACTTACGTTACACACGGAGGGTTTTCCATTTATGGCATGGATGCTGCGACTACTTACTGGAGACACGTGGCAGATTAGTAGTAACTGAAAGCTTAATAATACAACGAGTGATCACTTTAGCCTTTCAACGAGTATATGGGAAGCAGAAGTAACAACTTTAATAATTAAAGCACAAAATTATGGGATTGGATTGTAGCTTTTGCGATTGAACATTGAACAGCTAATGATGTTTCCTAAATTTCGTTTCCAGCTATTGGGTTTGCTTTGAAACAATCATCAAATCAAATTTAAAGTCACAGTTTGAAAAAATTGAAATCAAATTATTAAAAAATATAAATTAAATTAGCTAGGATCCTCATGTATTCATGACTAAAAGGTCATTGTTCAATTCCTTCTGGATATTCCTTAACTTGTAATTCCAACTGTAATTTATGCTCATAATTAGGCCATCCATCATGAGTTTTCATGTAATTTATCAATAAAATTATAATTGTACAAGTATGCTTCATTTACAGATTTTAATATATTCTTTATATATAATATCTAATGAAAAAAATATATATACAGTATAGTGAACAAAAATGAAACAAATAATAGGAATAAAAAAAGGCAGTGATCAGACATTTCTTATTGCTATGGATTGGATTGTGACATTTCTTACATACATCTAGAGGCTAATCATTGTGCAGATTAACTTGCTAATCTGGCAAAACATTATCCATTCAAATTGTATGTTCTTCATCATCAGCCAGCCCTTGCTTGGGGTTGCATATCCCAAGGACTGTATTTAGTTTCTCTTTCAACTTTTATTCTCCTTCTTTGCCAAAAAAAAAAAAAAAAAAAAAAAAATTAAAAATATATATGTATGAATTTTTTATTATATTGCAACATTTAATTCTTGTTTTTTTTAAAAAAAAAAAAAAAAAAAAAAAAAGAAAATTAAAAATATATATGTATGAATTTTTTATATATTGCAACATTTAATTCTGTGACACGTTTGAGTACCGGTTCTTATTTACCCAAACACACGCACAAAGAAGAAAAAGAAGAAATCCTATATGTAGAAGTCTTTATTACACACTTTTTTACACGTTCAGGTCCATAGTTGTAGTCCTGTAGCCAAAATGTGAGTATGGATTTTTTATTTATTTAATCTATAGATTACAGGATGGGGGGAGGAGAAGAGGAAAGGAGAGGAGTGGGAGTGGTTGGAACCCAATTCAACCATATAAGTGCATAGAAATATATTGTCAGGCTAAAGTTTGATTTCCGTGAATATGAATCTAGAGAAGTGGGATTTGAGCATCTAATATTTCAGAAATCATATGCATTGTAGGCCGAGATTGTGGATTCGTGCACAAGCATGCACTTGCAATTTTAGCGATTTTCATCAGTTCTTCCTCAATTTCAGGTGAAGGAGTTGGAAGTCGTTTGTCTATAACATCTTCTAGTTGTATATTGGCTGCTGAAGGAGACGATACAGAGAAGATGATTTCACCTGGGTGCTTTCCTTTCACCACTTCTAAGGCTAAAACTCCAAAACTATATACATCACATTTCTCTGTCACCTTCATTGTGTATGCAAGCTCTGCCACATAAATTCAATAAAAATAAGATTTAGGTTCTTTGTTCCATGTCTGAAAAATATTTTTTAATGTTCGAGAAGCCTAGAGAAATCAATGGACCGAAAATATTTTTTTCATTCAGGAAAAATGATTTGGATGATAATTTTATCAAATTTGCTGGGGGAATCGATCGGATTTTACAAATTTGAATAGTCAATAAATAAATTTGGGATAGATTCAGGTAGTGATTTTAGTATTTAAATTGAGCTTGGATTCAAGGACTTGAATATTGGCTATCTCTTACCCATTTAATTAATATTTTTAGAATATTAAAAATAATTATTTTTTAAAAAAATTTTTATTTTCATTGGTTTGTTCTATGGGTGGGCCATGAACTTGGTCTAGGCACCTCTCTAATTATGATTAGTATTATAATTATACTTATTAACGATATTATATTTTTTTTGTCAAGTCGAAATAGAATTTTATGATTTATATTTTTTTATCAAGTCAAAACAGAACTTTTTGATTTTTATTTTTTTGTTTTCAAAAATAAAAAATAAAATAATTTTTTTAGTGTTAAATGAATGTTTAAATGAAAAAATAAATATATGGAATTAATTGAGCAAATGACTTTTCTTTTTATGAATTTATATGTCAAGCAAAACATGCCAAGGTTTAGCATCTTGTTCCTAATAGTAATACAAAAGGTCAGACTATTACCTGGTGCAATATATCCATATGTGCCAGCCATTGCAGTCCAATGCGATGAATCAAGATAGAGAAGCTTGGCAGTGCCAAAATCAGATACATGAGCCTCATAATCAGAATCAAGCAAAATATTTTTGCTTTTTACGTCTCTGTGAACAATTGGAGGTGAGCAATTGTGATGCATATAAGACAATGCATTAGCAACTCCTTTAACAATATTCACCCTCTTGCCCCAATCCAATTCTTTAGCTTCTTTATCATTGTCCAACACTGTCGCCAAGCTACCACCTTCAAGATACTCGTAAACCAGAAAAGAGTGCCTTGAATAGGAGCAAAAACCGTAAAGCTTTATAATGTTTCTATGCCTTATTTCAGTTAATGCCCTTATCTCGTTCAACAACTCTTTTTGGTATTTCCTTTCGCCATCACCAACTGGGTTTAGCCTCTTTACCGCTACTGTGCTTCCTGATGGCAAATTTGCTTTGTACACAGTTCCAAATCCTCCTTTACCAATAGAATATACAGAATCAAAACTATTAGTACTTTTTATTATCTCATCGTGCAGAATTCTTCCATCAGAACTGGAAATGAAAAATGGTTCATCTTCTTGTTCATCGCCTTCTTCTGCTTCTGGATCTGGTTTTCTTTTTCTTAAAAAGAAATAAACTCCTAAGAAAGAAAGGAGAGAAAGAACTCCAAAAACAGGAAAGAAAATTATCAGAAACAACTTTCTCCTGTGCTTTTTTGAGGTGTGATTATGTGTAGAAGGTGAATTGCAGGGAGGCAATCCTTTGACATTTCCACACAATCCTTTATTTCCTTGAAAGGCATCAATTGAAGCATTTTGAAATGCTTTGTTGTTTGGAATGGGACCTTCTAATTCATTGTATGATATGTTAACGGTCACCAAACCAAGCATGTTATCAAGACCATCTGGTATAAAACCAGAAATATTATTGTAAGAGATGTTCAAAGTCTCTAAGCTCTGCATACCACTTAATTGCGATGGAATCTCTCCCTTGAAAAAATTACGGCTTAAATCCAACACTGATAACTGAAATAACTTTCCTAACCCAATTGGAATTTCTTGGCTAAATTCATTGATGCTCAAATTCAAGTAAATAATTTTAGCCAATTTTCCAATGTTTTCAGGAATTGCACTCAACCTGTTTGATGAAAGGTCTAGGAACTGGAGATCGGTCAACCATGCCAGTTCTGAAGGAATAGCGGCAGAGAACCGATTGTTTGCTAGATTTAGCTTCACTAAAGAAGTCAATCTCACCAAATCCTTAGGAATTGTTCCGGATAATTGATTTGAAGAAAGATCAAGTGCTTGTAGCCGATTTGCATTTCCAAGCTCTGCTGGTACGGAACCAGTAATATTGTTATCTGCGATCAGTAAAGTGGCCAGTTGCGGACATTTTGCCCAGTTGGGTGATATTTCTCCTTGGAGTTTGTTTTGGCTTAGATCTAGGAACTGAAGCTGAGGATAGACACCAAAATCTTCAGATATATTTCCAGTGAATTGATTTCCCTCCAAACGAACTCTCATGAAGCTCACACAATCTCTAAAGCTTTTGGGGATTGGGCCTTGAAGAAAATTATTATTGACGGTGAAGTTTGCAAGCACTTTAGTTTGGCAAATGGTTTGGGGCAAAGAACCAGTGAACTGGTTGTGGTCTAGTTGAAGTACAGATAGTTTTGGTAGACTTGCTATCTCTTCAGGTATTGATCCAGAAAGGTTATTATCGCGGAGATACAAAGATTCGACCTCGCTTAAATTGCCAAAGGAAAGAGGAATTGGACCAGTAAGTCTATTCTCACTCAACTCTAGATCAATAATAGACTTTAAGTTGCCCAATTCTTCTGGAATGGAGCCGGAGAGCTGGTTTCCATAGAGATGAAGAGTGGTAAGACTAGTCAGACCACCTAATGATGCTGGAATTTGGCCAGAAAGATTGTTTGCATAAAGACTAAGCTTCTGGAGAGATTTCAAATTTCCGATTTCTTGAGGAATTGTACCGGAGAGTTTATTCTTGAACATAAGCAATACAGTTAGGTTTTTCAAGTTCCCAAAAGTGGAAGGAATTGGACCTGATAGACTATTTGTATCCATAAAAATTTCTCGCAAATTGGTGAGATTTCCCATTTCGGGAGGAATTGAACCGGAAAGTTGATTTTCATAGAGATATAAACTAACCATCTTGGTTAAATTACCCAAAGAACATTTCGGGAGGAATTGAACCGGAAAGTTAGATTTTCATAGAGATATTAAACTAACCATCTGAGTTAAATTACCAAAAGAAGCCGAGGAATAGACCTTCTAGATTAAATTGGTATACAAGGCAAGCTCAGTAAGAACTCAAAGCTTCCCTATTGCTCGAGAATCGAGCCATTAAGTGATTAGCAAGCAAGATGCAGGTGTTCAAGAATTTTGTTAACAAGCCAATTTCAGAGAAAATTTCCGTCAGAAGTTATAGTAAAATTCAAAATAAAATCGAGTTTTGAAAAGCTGAGTCAGGCCAAGCGGATTGTACCAGAGAGTTCATTGATATAGATTATATATGAAACGATCAGGAAAAGAAGAGAAAAGAAAGATCATTCAGTGCACCATAGACCTGCATTCGTCAGATTCAACCTAAACTACTCTGCCTTCCATGTGGTGGCAACTATTTCTCGAGGAATCGAGCCATTAAAGTGATTAGCAGCAAGATGCAGGGTATCAAGATTTGTTAACAAGCCAATTTCAGGAGGAATATTTCCGTACAAGAAGTTATATGACAAATCAAGATAAATGAGTTTTGAAAGCTGAGTCAGGCCAAGCGGAATTGTACCAGAGAGTTCATTGATACTAAGATCAATATATGAAAGATCAGGAAAAGAAGAGAAAGAAAGATCATTCAGTGCACCATTTAGACCTGCATTCGTCAGATTCAACCTAACTACTCTGCCTCCATTGTTGCAAGAAATTCCAAGCCAATTGCAAGGTGTCGTTCTTGAATTTGAATTGGAGGTATTTTGAGAAAGAAGAGGCCATGAAGAAATATTTGACTGTTTCAGGTTATTGAGACTGGCTGCCCATTTGAGAAGAGCATTTGCTTCTTCAACAGAGTCTGAAGCAACAAAAAGTGAAGAAGGTAACAGAAAAAGTAAAAGAATGGAAATAAGAGAGGGAAAACTGTACAAGGTGAAAGTTGCCATGGATGTTTTCGCCTTGTTGTTTCCAGACTTTGGAATTTTGCTCTTAATGTATACGTAGCTAGTTTGAGCCCTGTAGTTAGTCCGTAGACCAAGACTTAGTTAGTCCTCCACTGTAACAGGTGGGCCTATTCTCCATTTTCATTGAGTTGATCTATCATGGAAGACTTTGAATTCCATTGAGTTGTTTAGTTTACTTTTGGCGAATTATTTTTGGATTGTGGAAAAATGCAGGATAGGTTTTTTTTGGACCGGAGATAAAATAGACAGCGACATTGTTGTTAGCTGAAATGGACTAATTATGTTTTATTAATATTGACTAATGCAATAAATTCAAAGTCGTCGCCTGAAGCATGCAACAACTGAGCTCAGAAAGTGGTGCATTATTTTTTCTTTGGTCGTGTTTTTGACTTTTCTGCCATTGCCGTAAGGTAGGGTTGGAGCTAATAACTATCGAGTCCCAAAAACCAAGTAAACACCTCTTTTAGTAATAATAGCTTTTTCCTTTTGGAAAAAAATATCCAAAGACCAGAAGTTCGGCCTCGTATTTCAACCATTTTAATGACTTCTACACCTTTGTTTGGGAACAAAAACATATTTTGAAAAAATAACTATTTTTTCTTCTTTGTGTGTGGATGTGGGGCTTAAATATTTTAAACTTAGGTAGAAAATTTTGGATGGAAATCTTTTGAAAAAATAATTATTTTTTCTTCTACACCTTTCTTATTTTTCCTCCTTTTCTCAAGTAAGGAAATAACATTTTGTTATTGTTTATTTTAGTTATTTTATTTCTTTCCAAACTTTACCTCTATTCAAACAGAGCCTTAGAATTTGACAACCTTTACTTATTACCAAGCTTCACACAAGAATGAAGCTGCAAAGGACATTAGACGTTTTGATAATGCCCAAAACTCTGCCATTTACAACAATTCAGTTATTTCTGTTTTAACCGATTTTCCTTCATAGATAACCGAACTAAAACCGATAAACCAACTCAAAATATAATTAAAATTGAATTACTTTACCAACAAAAATTGAAAGTTTAATGATCATATGCATAATAAGTTCAACGACTTTATATGAGTGAGGTTACATTGGAAGCAGAGTATTCAATGCTTTCTAATGAAATTAAGCTTCTTTTCTAGGATGAAAATGACAAAAAATGATTGAAAACACTCTCCATGTCCGGTCTAGACTGTGGATTAACATTTAAGCATGAAACTGCAAGACTGATGATGAATGCCAATTTCTCTTCTTCTTCAGGTGAGGGAGCTGACAATCTCTGATCCATCACATCCTGTAATTCTATCTCTATATTATTATTACCAGAATCTGCTGATAATAATGTAGAGATTATATCGCCGGGATGCTTTCCTTTGATGACTTCTATTGCTAAAACTCCAAAACTATACACATCACATTTTTCGGTCACTTTCATTGTGTAAGCAAGCTCTGCAAGAACACAGAAAGACAAATGAATGAAATTTTTAACAGCAGCAATATCAAAGTATACAATTATCTTTACCTGGTGCTACATATCCATATGTTCCTGCAAGCATTGTCCGATTAGACGAGTCTAGCTTGAGAAGCTTAGCCGTGCCAAAATCAGAAACATGAGCTTCATATTCTGAATCCAACAAGACATTCTTGCTTGATATGTCTCGATGAATAATTGGTGGAGAACAGTCATGGTGTATATAGGAGAGGGCGCGAGCCACGCCTGAAATAACTTTCAACCTTTTATCCCAGTCCAATTCTCTTGCAGCTTCAGGATTGTTCAGGATTGAGGCAAGGCTACCCCTCTGTAAGTACTCATAGACTAAGAATGTATGTCGAGAATGTGAACAAAAACCATAGAGTTTGACAATATTTCGATGCCTTATCTCTGTTAATACACTAATCTCGTTCAGAAATTCTTTCTGATTAGCCATCTCATCCTGATGAAAGGAATGGAATTTCTTTACAGCTACAGTATTTCCTGATGCCAAGTCTGCTTTGTAGACACGTCCAAATCCACCCTCTCCAATGCAGTGCATTTCATCGAAAATGTTAGTTGCTTGTAGAATATCTTCAAACATTATTTTTCCATCAAAAATTGATATGAAATGCAACTCTTCATTATTCATACTGCTTCGAGTGTCAGAGCTTCTCTGCTTCCTAGTTCGAAAACTTAAGATCAGGATGATTAAAGCACATAAGAGAAAAATAGCACCAAAAATAGGAAATACAACCGTTAGAAAAAATTTCATGACCCTAGCGGTTGTGCATGGTTTAAGACTGCTATTTTTCCCGCAGAGTTGTTTGTTTCCTTCCAATGCAGCTTCTTGAAATGCTTTGCAGTCAGGGATTGGACCCCGTAGATCATTTTCTGATAGATCAACTGATTTCAAATACGGTAGCTCGGCAAAAGTTGCTGGAATGACACCAGTGAGTTTATTATGAGAGAGATTCAATATTTCCAAGCTTCTTAGACTTGAAAATTGTTCTGGTATTTCTCCATGGAGCATGTTATGGCTAAGATCAAGCTGGGAAAGGCCTTTCAAATTCTCGAAAGATGCTGGAATTATACCAGTGAGGTAATTGCCTGAGAGATTCATTTTCTCCAATGTCTCAAACCTGCTAAACTCTAACGGTATTTCTCCAGAGAGAAAATTATTACTTAGATCAAACTTAGACAGGTGAACTAAGTTGCTCATCTGAACCGGAATCTTTCCACTGAACCTGTTCTTGCTCAAGTTCAAGTCAATCAAACTCAACAAGTCCCCTAAATTACTTGTAATTGCTCTGCTCAATCTGTTTGCGGACAAGTCAAGATACTGAAGTCGGGAGAGTGATGAGAGTTCAATAGGAATATTACCAAACAGTTGGTTATCATTCAATTCTAACACTCCTAAAGAAACCAGTTTTCCAATTTCCTTTGGAATTTCTCCAGCTAAATTATTTGCAGACAGATCAAGCTCTTCCAGTGTTGTCAAATTTCCAAGTTCTGGTGGTATTTTACCAGAAATATTGTTCCCTGCAATATATAGGGCGGTTAATTGAGAACATTTCCCCCAAGTAGACGACATTTCTCCATAGAAATTATTTTGGCTCAGATTTATAAATAGCAGGTTTGGATAGACACCAAAATCTTCAAATACATTACCAAAAAACTGGTTGCCGTCAAATCTGGCTCTAATTAATGTTGAGCAATTTCTCAAACTTTTGGGTATTGGACCTGTGAGTTGATTGTCATTTACAATCAATCTAAGAAGAAATCCGCCAGCGCAAATATTCTGGGGCAAGGATCCTGTAAACTGGTTCGAGTCTAGATGCAGTTGGGATAGTTTGGTGAGATGTCCAATTTCTTGAGGAATTGAACCGGAAAGTTGATTGTCTCTAAGGTATAGCCGGTCTAAGTTGCTTAAATTACCAAATGAAGCAGGAATTGAACCATTCAGTTGATTTTCACTCAACTCTAGATCAACAAGGTACTTTAAGTTCCCTAGCTCAGCAGGAATTGGACCAGAAAGTTGATTTTGGAAGAGCTGAAGAATTTTAATATTGCTTGGATTGCCCAATGATGCTGGAATGGGACCAGAAAGTTTATTTCTTTTAAGGCTCAGTTTCTCCAGAGATTTCAAATTTCCAATTTCTTCAGGGATGTAACCTGTTAAGCTGTTGGTATCAAGGAAAAGTGCAACCAAATTGGAGAGATTTCCAATTTCTTGAGGAATAGAACCAGAAAGTGAATTGTTGTAAAGATACAAGTAACGCAGGTTGGATAAATTTCCAAAACAAGAAGGAATTGAATCAACTAGATGGTTGTTGTACAATGCAAGCTCTTTAAGCAAACTGAGATGACACATCTGTTGTGGAATTGAACCATTTAATTGAGTTTCGACAAGGTGCAGCGTCTTAAGGTTAGTTAAAAGGCCAATTTCAGGTGGGATTTTACCAGATAATAGGTTAATGGATAAATCTAGATAGACGAGTTTCGATAATTGTCCTATTTGAGACGGGATGTTGCCATAGAATTGATTTACACTGAGATCAATGTATGCAAGTTTAGGAAGAGATGAAAATGGAAAATTTTGAAGTGTACCTTCTACACCCGAATTGGTTAGGTTTAAACGGTGGACTCTACCAGCACGGTTACAAATAATACCGAACCAATCACAAGGACTAAAAATATTGGTGCCGTTTGCAGGATAAAGAGACCATTTAGGCAGGAATGGATTGGTCTGGTTAAGGCTAGCTTTCCATTTGACAAGGGAAAGAGCTTCATCTATAGAACCAGAAGAAACTTTAAGTGAAGAATGTGAAATAATAAGCAGGATAAAGGGAAGAACAAGTGAGAGACCCATAGTTTATGAGCAAGGCAAGTAAAGATCTGGGTGCCTCTTCTTGTGAAAGTGCAATATATTTACCCATGGAGGTCACCATCTTCGTTCCCTCGTTAATCAGTAACGTAAATTACTTATTGTGGATGTCACTGTTTAAGTGATGAAAAATATTTGTCCATATTTTAATACTTGGAATGTTTTCATTTTGGAAGACTTTGCAGAATCAATATACCTTTCTGTTAGTGTTATAAGCGTTAGAAATAAATTGATTTTTCCAGGATCTAAAATTCAAGCCATGTGCTTCCATAATTGAAGACTCGGTAAAACTTCTAGTTATATCATTTTCAACTGAAGAGTTGCCCCTAAAATCTTCCTAAGACAAGTCTTGCACTTGTCTCCACAAGCTAGAAAAAATCATTTCAATACACGCCGTAACCGGCGGTGACAGTTAAATGGAACATGTCATCCACCAGTATTAGTACCCTGATCTGCAAGACTGCAACTTCCAAGTTTTCTCTGTTTTATCACTTGTAAATGCAATAGAAAATTAATTGCAGAGAGAGAGAGAGAGGGGTGTATTCTTCTTGAAAAATCGTTAGTGCTTAGTAATAGACAGCAACAACTTATGCTGCACTTTCTTGCAATTAAAACTATTCAAGGCCAACATAGATGAACAATAAGAAAATCAATTCACCATATATAAATCCACAACAAAATATCTCACTCACTAATTTTTTTTTTTTTAAAAAAAGAGCTAATAAATCCAATCCAAGTAAAAGAAGATATGTCACTCCTTAATTTTTTTAATTTCAAAAGATAATAAAATTAACTCTGATTAATGTGTTCACACTAAAGTATAGCTTAGTGGTAAATGCATATAAAACAAGTATTCACTTGTTAAGTTCATTTTTTCCCCCTAAAACAAAGAATATTTTAAGGTGAATTTAATTAAAAAAAATCTTAAATGGGTCTTTTTTTTTTTTCTAACCACGTCATGAATAAATGTGGCCAAGGTATTAATAGATTGTTAGTAATATTTTTTTATCAGCATGCATACAGACCCAATGGAAAGTTTTAATTGCAAACAAATAAAAGGAAAATGCAAAGACTTGCAATCTATCATGTGAGTTTGGAACCTGTTCTGTTTCAGCAGCAGAACTTTGGGCGTTGCTCCAGGGATTAAAGCTAGCCAGGTCCTTGGGGATAAGTCCAATTCACCTGGAGTGTGATAATTTGGTGGTTGTGAATATGATTAAACGAGAAATGATACCGCTTTGATCATGTGGACCATAAAGCCAATTTATGTGCAGATTGGTTAGCTACTTTAGCAGAAAGTATCCCTTTAGGAGTCTATGTCCTTAATATTGTTCCTCCAAGTTTAGAGGATTGGTTACTCCAAGATATTTGTGGAATAACCTATTCTAGGTTTTGTTGCTAAGAGGTTTACCCTCTCTCATTTGTAACAAAAAAGAAATGTTGTGTACATTTCCTGCACAAATTTAAATATTATCGCATCACAACATTTATTTCTCTTATATTTAATATGATTGATGATTCCTATATCCAATAAAAAAAAATGTAAAAAGTAAAATAAATAAAAGAGTCCTAGATGTGTGTATAAATCTCTAGAGATTGTGGAATTTGATCATCTAATATTTCAGAAATCATATGCATTGTAGGCCGAGACTCTGGATTGCCGCACAAGCATGCATTTGCAATTTTCACGATTGTCATCAATTCTTCTTTAATTTCAGGCGCAGGACTTGGAAGCCGTTCGTCTATAACATCTTCAAGTTGTATGTTGGTTGATGAAGGAGACGACACAGAGAAGATGATTTCACCTGGATGCTTTCCGTTGATCACTTCTAGAGCCAACACTCCGAAACTATATACATCACATTTTTCCGTCATCTTCATCGTGTATGCAAACTCTGCCATCAAAAGTTCATTTAAAGAAAATGCAAAATTAAATACAAGATAATAACATTTCAGTTGGAAAAAATCAAAAAAAATAAAAAAAAGTGCAGATACTGGACCAATTATGTTAGTACTTTTAGAACCAAATGAATCATTAAGATTGGTTTATTGCTTAGTACAATTCAACTTGGTCAAGACTAAATAGAAAATAATGCTAAAATTTTACCTGGACCAATATATCCATACGTACCAGCCATTACACTCCAATGGGAAGAATCAAGATAGAGAAGCTTTGCGGTGCCGAAGTCAGATACGTGAGCTTCAAAATCAGAATCGAGCAAAATATTTTTGCTTGTTATGTCTCTATGAACAATTGGGGGTGAGCAATTGTGATGCATATAAGACAATGCATTAGCAACTCCTTTAACAATCTTTACTCTCTTACCCCAGTCCAATTCTTTAGCTTCTTCGTCGTTGTCCAGCACTGTAGCCAAGCTACCACCTCCAAGATACTCATAAACCAAAAGAATGTGCTTTGAATCGGAGCAAAAACCGTAAAGCTTTGTCATGTTTTTATGCCTTATTTCTGTTAATGCCCTTATCTCGTTCAAGAACTCTTGTCGATATTTCCGTTCACCATCACCAAATTCAACTGGGTCTAGCTTCTTTACCGCTACTATGATTCCTGATGGCAGATTTGCTTTGTACACAGTTCCAAATCCTCCTTTACCAATACAATATACAGAATCAAAATTATCAGTGCATTTTATTATCTCATCATGCATAATTCTTCCATTAGAAGTCGGAGCAAGAAATGGTTCATCTCGTTGTTCATCGCCTTTTTCCGCTTCTAAATCTGCTTTTCTTTTTTGCAAAAAGATATAAACTCCTAAAAGAAGCGAAAGAACTCCAAAAACAGGAAGGAAAATTGTTAGATACAACATTTTCCGGTTCTTTTTTGAAGTAAGGATTTTTGTAGAAGATGAACTGCAGGGCGGCAATCCTTTGACAATTCCACACAACCCTTTATTCCCTTGAAGTGCTTCAATTGTAGCATTTTGAAATGCTTTGTTGTTTGGAATCGGACCTTCTAATTCATTGTAAGATATGTCAACGGTAACCAAACCAAGCATATTACTAAAACCATGTGGAATAAAGCCGGAAATATTATTGTAAGAGATGTTCAAAATCTCCAAGCTCTGCATACCACTTAATTGCGATGGAATCTCTCCCTTGAAAAAATTACGGCTTAAATCCAGCACTGATAACTGAAATAACTTTCCTAACCCAATTGGAATTTCTTGGCTAAATTCATTGATGCTCAAATTCAAGTAAATAATATTAGCCAAGTTTCCAATGTTTTCAGGAATTGCGCTCAACCTGTTTGATGAAAGGTCTAGGAACTGGAGATCGGTCAACGATTCCAATTCTAAAGGAATGGCGTCGGAGAACCAATTGTCAGCTAAAATTAACATATATAAAGAAGTCAATTTCCCCAACTCCTTAGGAATTCTTCCAGATAATTGATTTGAAGAAAGATCAAGTGCTTGTAGCCGATTTGCATTTCCAAGCTCTGCTGGTACGGAACCAGTAATATTGTTATCTGCGATCAGTAAAGCGGCCAGTTGCGGACATTTTCCCCAGTTAGATGATATTTCTCCTTGGAGTTTGTTTTGGCTTAGATCTAGGAAATGAAGCTGAGGATAGACACCAAAATCTTCAGATATATTTCCAGTGAATTGGTTTCCCTCCAAACGAACTCTCTTGAAGCTCACACAATCTCTAAAGCTTTTGGGGATTGGGCCTCGAAGAAAATTATTATTGACGGTGAAGTTTGCAAGCACTTTAGTTTGGCAAATGGTTTGGGGCAAAGAACCAGTGAACTGGTTGTTGTCTAGTTGAAGTGTAGATAGTTTTGGTAGACTTGCTATCTCTTCAGGTATTGATCCAGAAAGGTTATTATCGCGGAGATACAAAGATTCGACCTCGCTTAAATTGCCAAAGGAAAGAGGGATTGGACCAGTAAGTCTATTCTCACTTAACTCTAGATCAATAATAGACTTTAAGTTGCCCAATTCTTCTGGAATGGAGCCGGAGAGCTGGTTTCCATAGAGATGAAGAATGATAAGACTAGTCAGACCACCTAGTGATGCTGGAATTTGGCCACAAAGATTGTTTGTATGAAGACTAAGCTTCTGGAGAGACTTCAAATTTCCGATTTCTTGAGGAATTGTACCGGAGAGTTTATTCTTGAACATAAGCAATACAGTTAGGTTTTTCAAGTTCCCAAAAGTGGAAGGAATTGGACCTGATAGACTATTTGTATCAATAAAAATTTCTCGCAAATTGGTGAGATTTCCCATTTCGGGAGGAATTGAACCGGAAAGTTGATTTTCATAGAGATATAAACTAACCATCTTGGTTAAATTACCCAAAGAAGCAGGAATAGGACCTTCTAGATTATTGGTATACAAGGCAAGCTCAGTAAGGGAACTCAAGTTCCCTATTTCTCGAGGAATCGAGCCATTAAAGTCATTAGCAGCAAGATGCAGGGTATCAAGTTTTGTTAACAAGCCAATTTCAGGAGGAATGTTTCCGTACAAGGAGTTATATGACAAATCAAGATAAATGAGTTTTGAGAGCTGAGTCAGGCCAAGCGGAATTGTACCAGAGAGTTCATTGATACTAAGATCAATATATGAAAGATCAGGAAAAGAAGAGAAAGAAAGATCATTCAGTGCACCATTTAGACCTGCATTCGTCAGATTCAACCTAACTACTCTGCCTCCATTGTTGCAAGAAATTCCAAGCCAATTGCAATGTGTCGTTCTTGAATTTGAATTGGAGGTGTTTTGAGAAAGAAGAGGCCATGAAGAAATATTTGACAGTTTCAGGTTATTGAGACTGGCTGCCCATTTGAGAAGAGCATTTGCTTCTTCAACAGAGTCTGAAGCAGCATAAAGCGAAGAAGGTAACAAAAAAAGTAAAAGAAAGGAAATAAGAGAGGGAAAATTGTACAAGGTGAAAGTTGCCATTAGGTGTTGTTTTTGCCTTGTTTCTTCAAATTATATATTTTCTTTTCTCCATTTATGTTATAGCTAGCTAGCTTGGGCGCTTTAACAAGTCTGTGGAAGTGGACCAAGACTCAATTAGTAATCAGTCATTTCTTTACTGTAAAAGGTGGGGCCAAAATTCATTGTTCACTTGGTTGACCTATCATGGAAGACTTTGACTTCCAATCAGGCGTTTAGTTTACGGTTTGGCAAAATTATGTTTTTTTAATTTAGCTTGCGATGATATCACCAATGATAATAATAATAACGATAATAATTACAATAACAGTAATTGTTTTCAAAAAAAAAAAAATAATAATAATAGTAATATCAACGAGTTAATCTGGGCGAAAATAACTCAAATTCTAAAAGCAAAATGTCCCGAGTTTACCGGAGACTGCTTTCCCTAATGAGACGCGAGTAGAAATAAGCTTATTACAACGGTTTAGAGGCACCTATGGTATAAATAAAAAATGACCATAAAATAATAATAGTAAAAAAAAAATTGCTTAGACTCATGTCATGAATAGCAAATTTCTCATTCTATTGTCGAAAAGATGTTATTTATAACCTACTTGAATTGATAATTTTGTGATTAATATTTATCTGGAGAATAATCCTTAACTAGAAAGAAGCAACACAGAGAAAGTGGTGCATTGTTAGTTCGTCTTCTCTCCTTTGCCGTAAGGAAGGGTTCCTGACTATGACCGTGTAAACATGCTGTGCGCCTATGTTTTTATCCATTATAGCATTCTTCCTTATGAGAAAAGATCTCCAGACCCAGCCACATTTTCTCAATCCAATTTAATGATTTTCAGAATTTGACAGTCTGTAGTTGTTAGCGAACTGAAAGTTTTTGTGCTCTTAGTTCAATAACTAAGACAACAGTTATTTTCAAAAACAAAAAAACTAAGACAACAGTTAAGCTTTTCCTGTAGCTATTAGTCAAGCAAGGCGGAGAAATAGATACTTTTCTTATGTCAAATTGATGCTGGAATTTGAGCCCATCAACCTGATCCAAATCCATTTGCTTAACTATATATACCTGTGTTCGATTCGATCTTTACCTTATTAATTTTATTTTAGGGAATCGTTGCCAAAATATTCAAATTAGAGTATAGTTATTACAACTCGCAAAAAATAGGGAATAAATGTGCATTAAGCTTAATTTGGTGGTTTAACCATGACTTGTATAGAATAGCTCACTTTAGAATATATATGTAATCTCTATAGTATAACTCTCCATTTTTACCAATATATACTAAGACAACAGTTATTTTCCAAAACAAAAAAAAACTAAGACAACAGTAAGCGTTTCTTCCATGTAGCTACTTAGTCAAGCAAGGCGAGAGAAATAAGATACTTCTTCTACTATTGTCAAATTGATGCTGGAGATTTGAGCCTATCCAAACCTGATCCAAATCATTTTGCTTAAATACTATATATACCTTGTGTTCGATATCCGATCTCTATACTTAATTAAATTTTATTTTAGGGAATACAGTTGCCCAAAATATTCAACATTAGGAGATATAGTTTATTACAAACTCGCAAAAAAATAGGAAATAAATGTGCATTAAAGCTTAATTTGGTGGTTTAACCATGACTTGAATATAGAATAGCTCACTTCTAGAATAATGATGTAATCTTCTATAAGTATAACTCTCCATTTTTTAACAACTGATATATATTATAATAATATATATAATATATATATATATATATCATATATTTATATATATATATTTATCCACAACAAATATGTTTTTAAAATTGTATTGATCGATGGTCTAATCATGGCACTATAGCCAGTTTTGTGAGTTCAATTGCTTAAAAACACAAAGCTTTTAATCTAATTTACTTCATTCAAATACTATATTAAATAAATGACTTCACTGAAAAGTATTTCAGCTCCGCCACTACCAATGGGGCAATCATGAGTGACAATTTATGGTTTAATTTTTCCAATCATGAGTGACCAACCGCCTTTCTTCTTTCTTTTTTTTCTCTCTCTTCTTCTTCTTCGGCGCGGCGACCTCACTGCCTCTCCTCCTCTCGTTTTTCCGACCACCAGAACCAGCGCCACCTCGCCGTCGCGTCACCGCCGCAGATGCTCAAGCCAGAATGCTCCAAGCTCCTCCTCCCTCTGGCGAGCGCAAGCGATGGGCAGAAGTTCGCAGTCTGCTTCCACCGCAGATCGCGTCTCCCTGCTCGATTTCCGCGACCTCATCGTTTTTTTCGGCGATCCCCCGTTAACAGTAAAGGTGAGTCCAAAATGGCCTTCTTGTTTTCTTTAGATAAATAATTATGGACAAACTGAATTTGAATGAGCATTTTTGAGAATGATTGAAGATTTGGGTTTTGTCAATTGATAAAAATTTGGGGTTTTAGTAATTTAAATTTGCCATATTTTGTAGATATTGATCTCAAAAAATCGAAACTGTTAACAGGGGAAGCATTCTTTATTTTCAGTATATTGTTGTTTGATCTCAGGCCTGCTGGCCGTCCGGCCACCGTGGCCTGTGGCGATGGTGGATGTTTCCGGTGACCAGAAAGTGCTAAATAGGTAGAATTTTGCACTCAACCCGCAGAGTATGACTATATTATTAGATTTGTAATCTGACATTGATTGATATTCAAACTATTGTTTGACTTGAATTTATAATTAGGCTTAGAAAGTATAAGACTGTAGAAAATTGGTTAATTAAGGATATTATGCCTTAACATTAGTTAATCAAGGATATTAGCTAAATAATTACATGAATAATACCTAAGAATGAATTAGTTGTTATACAAAAGTAATGCTTAATTCTTATTAGAAAAATGGCTTAAGTCAATTTGATTTTGGGTCTGAATTTTAATTGTGATTATTTGTTCTTGTTTGAAATTTTATAGGCTTTAATATGGATTTTTAATGTTTTCTAAGCATGGAAAATTGAGACATGAATTGGGATAGAGGAGTTTTAATTTTTTATGTTGAAAATAGGAGTGACCGATTAGGCCTAGTTAAAATTATTATGAATTCTTGTTAGAGAACCTTGATAAGGTAAAAAATACATTTAATTTTCGAACTTATGAATGCGAAATATTTCCAGAATGAATTGTTAATGAATCCCAAAACCGCGAAAGATAAATTTGGAAATATTTTGAAATAAGTAGGTTTAATTCCTTGGCTAGGAATATGTTAAATCGGTAATATTTTAAGTTGTAAAGTTAGATCTCTTAGTAGATGTATTCTTTAGATTTTTAATTTAATAGAAGCATTTGTTCGTAATGGCTAATATAAAATTTAACAAAAGGGGTATATAATATGTGGTTATTATCTTTTAAAAGCAAATGAAGAAATGAAAAGCTCGATAAAGAGTACTATAATAGTTTAGATACACTACGAAAACTATTAAGTGAAAGTAATTGAAATTAACTTAATGAATAGTTTTATTCGATTATATATATATTAAAGCTTTTCATTTGTTTGGTAATTAAGCTATAGAAGCTAGTTAATAATTATATGAAGTAAATAGTGATCGTCATTATCATTGGAACATGATTATTGTATAATTAATGGTTGAGCTTAATGGTTGAGTGTTGACATTGTTGTTTTGGAAGGAGGATGGGGTTTTAAATTGATTGATTGCCCGACGGATGGGCTGTGTGTATTGATTGATAAATATAGATAATGTTATTGTGACATTTAAACAGATAGATAATCCTATTTTTAGGGGAGATGTTGTCGAAATTTCGATAGAACCTAGATCAGTTTTAATTAATAACATAATAAATAAGCTTGTTTAGACAAATTCTATAATTTGATACATAATAAATAAAGTGCTCTAATTATTTAATTTATTTATTTTCATTATTGTTGTTTATTATTGTTATTTATTTTATTGTTGTTGTTTATTGTTAATATTATTTATTTATTTATTCATTTATTTGCATTTGAGAATGGATGTCAAATTGTGCATCGCATTACGACGTGCAATTGATCAATATGTCTGCATTTGATTTCAATGTTTGATTAATTGTGTTGTGATAATGCTATGCTTTGTTTGTGTGGAATTGGGATGAAGTGGACCACCGTAGGTTTGTGAGGACGGTCTGTGATATGGATCCTGAATATGATATGATATTTGACCATCGGCCGGAAAAATGAGAGATCGGCGCCCCCGTGTGCACCTGATGATATGGATTATGTGGAAAACCACAGGATGGCTTCATGTTGTTGCGCACCTGATAATCTAGATTTGCACGCTGATAATCTAGATTTTTGATTGTAGCCACAGGGTGGCCTCCGCTGTTGTGAGCACTTGATGATCTTAGATTGGATGAGACCACCGGGTTGCCTCCTGTTGGTATGGAAAAGAAAAGAGAATGAATGGAAAAACAATGGAGAGGACTGGTTAGTGAGGATTAAGATCCAGTTGGCTGTAATAGGGGATCGGCTCCCTGGTGCGACCATGTATGAGAGGGCGAGCCATGTGTGACGACGGCTCGTTGGGGTTTCAGGTGGCGCCACTTGACTAATTTCCACGTGATGTAATTTATATGAAGATGTTTATGATTGGTGAGCTGCCTGGTGATGTGCTGGTGACATGCCATTTGTGTGACTGACTGCGTGAGCATATAACTAGTCGGATGACTAGATTGATATATTTATTCATTTGTGTGAATGCATGGGTTGTGCAATAGGTATTACTTCTTAGAAGGCTCACATATTTTGTTTAATTTTTCAGGAAGTAAGTTTTTCTTTAATTCGGTTTAAGTTATGCTCCTTTGCCGCAGGGCTATAAGAAAATTTTCCCAATTTCATAATTATTTTACTATGTTATTATATATATAAAAAGCTATGTATACCAAATAGTTAGTGACTCTGCAGTTGTAGAATTTACTTACATTTAGTCGTGTATTATCATGTGTAGTAATACAGATGAAGTAATTCTGTTAGCCCATATTAAAAATGTATTGTATTGTAAATGGGGCTCGAACTGTGAAATGTTGAAGATGATAAATTAGGCCGAGATATAATAAAATTTTGAGGTATATTTTTCATATTAATATAGGCTGAATGGTTGAAATATATATTGAGATAATAGATTTTAGTGATTCAGGCTTACTACGGGCCTCGAGGGCTTTAAGCTTACCTGAGCCCTAGTGCCGGTCCGGCCCATGGAAACGGGTCGTGACATTAAGGCATAGCCTTGTAATAATTGACATATATGACCTATATTAAATTCAGGTTCGAATCACCCTTTCCAACTAAAAATTTCAAAGAATTTTATTTGCAAATACTTCACATGTCAGATTTATGATGTGTTAATTTTTTTTTAAGATATCTAAGTAAATCTGCCTGTATCACCAGACGGATTAATTAAGTGGTCACTCAATTTGTCTAGTGGTACAGGCGGATTCAATTTAACTAATTAAATGAATTTTACTTTTTGATACGCACAATCTTTATATTTATGTCACTGATTTTTTTTAACCCTAAACAGATTTCACATTTTATGAAATTAATTCAATTACATAAATTTATTAGGTCAATGAACAGAATTTTCTCAAAATTTTCTAGCAAAAAGTTACATTATTCTTATCAATTAGTATAAAGCAACCCTTTAAATTAAGGTATAATTAGGTAAATTTTTAAAATAAGATAAAATTGTGGAAAAAAAAATCGTAAATTGAAACATATTAACCTAAGCCCCCCTATGAACGTAAGGTACACTTACTACTTTGTGCACGTTTATCATGATCCGCTACCTACCATACCATACCATTTATCATGTGCTTAGTTGATGATATATATAATCCAAAATAGTAGGTCAAACCAAATAATCATATTAAACAATTTTCAATTAATTGATTGTCATTTGTCACCAATAACTTAATCAAGGGAATTATCACACTACTAAGGCAGTATAACACTACTAGGGCAATATAAGCCACGAGGGACAATATACAATTATAAAGTACTAATTGGTGAGAAGATCAATTGAACCCTTGACCAAAACAGACCAAAACAAAGGTAATAACCCTATAACATATGCAACTAAAGTACAAACTATTTATATCCCATGATTTGATATTTAAATATGTTAAGAATTGAACAAAATTATTTGACTAATAATCAAATGACTTTATCGAAATAATTACAAATTTAGACAACATTATCTTTATATAATTGTGATGTTTCAAAAAAAAAAAAAAAATGCATGGTAACATACAAAGTGGCATTAATAAGGCATATTTGAGTTCAATAGATGATTTTTACAAAATTGAAGGTTTGATCATGAAAGAAAAAAACATTATAATAAGGAATAGTCGTAAACCCTAAAATGAGAGTACGGATACTATTTAGAAAATCAATAGCTCTCCAACTCTGCTTATTTCTATTTTGGCTCCTCTAATAACAAGGAAAAAAAAAGACTATTAAGTAGTAATTAACATCTTATGTATTATAATGTTAGTGTATGATTAGAAATACTATCATTTGAATCAAAATATTATTTATAATTGGTTTGGTGTATATGTGGTGTAGAAAAGACTTATTTACTCGGTTCATGGTCTATCTATTTATAAACTAAACCAAGTAAATACAATATATATATATATATTTATAAACTAAACAAGTAAATACAATAATTATATATATATATATATATATATATATATATATATATAGCTATATCAGTAAATACAGAATATATACTATATCAGTAAATACAGAACAAATATATATACACCAATTAACATATTTGATCAAACCAAGTAAATACAATGTATATATACACCAAACAGAATCGAGTCCTATCAAGTCTCTATAATATTTACTAATTGTATAAAAAACTGATAAAAATATTTTCAATAATATACAACAGATTAAAAACATAAATCAACATATTTTATGAATCAAATACGAAATTATGGAATAACACCAATAATGAGAAGAAAAATAATTAAAAGAGAAAAAATGATAAGAAAATAATGAACGACAGTGAAAGGAGAAATAACAATAAGAAAATAATGAGAGCTAAACAAAAAAATTGGCAGCAGAAAAATATTAACATATTGAAAAAAAGGAAACGACGATGAAAATAAGAAATTAATATAAAAGGAAACACCAACATATTAAAACACTAAAATATTAATAAACTAATACCCACTACTAAAAAATGCACAATAATAAAAATATATTATAAATGGCAATAATTTAAATCCCAATATTAAACTGACATTTTTTAAAATTAAGTTTTAAAAATTAACAATTAGTACAATTTTCTGAAGAAAATATATTTTTTGTTGTAACGATAATATTAATATTTCTAATAGTTGATTAGAAAAAAAAGATACAATAGTAATAAATTTTAATAAAATTTTTCATTAATTGATTTGATGCACGGATGGTTAACATGCGCAAGTTTTTTTCGTGTAACAACAATATATAAGCTTTTCACGTTATGTGACTTATCGACCAAAAAAGCGTACATGCATTGGAAAGCACTGAATAATTCCTCAGTACACATATTAAGGAACTTGGCTATAAAATGTGTTTTTCCAAGCTAGCTACGACTAAGTAGCTCTGCTTTATTTCCTCTGTTTTAACTGGAGCAAAAGCCGGAGACCCTGTTCGGATTTGAAGGAAATGGCTGTCGGAGGTTTTGCCGTTGACGGGCCTGTCGGTGGCTTTAACGGCAAGATAACTATATCAGTTGTGATTACTTGCATCGTAGCTGCATCTAGCGGCCTCATTTTCGGCTATGACATTGGAATTTCAGGTATTTTCACTTTATTTTCATTATTATCTTCAAATCAATTCTTTGAAGTGCATATAGTACGGAGAAGAACTGTTTTGCTTTTGTTTTTTCCCCATGAAAGGGAATATCTCGTCAGTTAATTGGTTTGATCTTGTGTAATCACCTTCCTAGCTGTTAAATTTTGGAAGTACAGAAAGGTGTAATCTTTGAAAGGTAAAGAAACTGCAGTGTTCAAACCTCACAATTTATTGCCAATTTAATGAAAATTATAAAAACGTAAAGCTTATTATTTTTAGGGCTGTTGATATCTTTATGAACTAAAAGGAGTAAATTTGAGCATTTGAAACGTAAATGTCTTTATCATGCAATGATATTTAATTTTAATCAATAAGATTTACTTATTTATTGAAAATTGAAGTTGGCCTTAAACTTAAAACATCCATTAATTTCCTCAATAAAATAAAATAAAATATCCATTAACATTTTCATTTTTATTCCAAGTGAACCAAACAAGCCCCAGGAGAGAAGTTTAGTTATTAATTATTCAAGAAATTAAAATAATAGAGTGAAATGAAAACGATAGCTTAAGCTCACTGTATAACATTTGTCAGAGTTTTGTTGGACTCATACTGGTAGTTGAAGTTTGGTTGGGACCTCAAAATTTCTTTGATGTGCCAAAATTTGATAGTTGAAGAACTGTTTTTTATTTTATTTTATTTTTAGTTCTACTGAGGAAAAATAATGTTAGAATCATTGACTGGTAGACCAATTACTCCAGCTATTGGTCTTCAAAAAGTAAGAGAATCCTTCTTTTTTTTTTTTTTTTTTTGTAAGACCAAATTACTCAGCTATTGGTCTTCAAAAAGTAAAGAGAATCCTTTCTTTTTTTTTTTTTTTTTTTTTTGTGGTCACATGAGGTGTAATGAAATAAGAAGGAAATAAGACAAAATTAAATTTCATTTTCCTATCCTTCCTTTTTTTTTTTTTTTTTTTTTTTTTTTTTTTTTTTGTGGTCACCATGAGGTGTAATGAATAAGAAGGAATAAGACAAAATTAAATTTCATTTTCCTACTTCTTTTTTTATTTTTTAGCACACATATCTCCATGTTCGGGTTAAAAATAGTATTCCATTTCTCTACTTTTGTTCGTAATTCATTTTTTTGGTCCATATGGGGCGGAAGCAACTAGGCCTAAAGGGGCAATAGCTCCCAATATAAAAAAAAAATCAATTTATAGTGTTAAAAAAATTGGAAAAAAAAAAAATAGTTTGGCCCCACTTAATCAAAATTAATGTTTAACCTCTCTCTAGTTAGGTAAGTAAATCCCAACGAAATGAGGAAAATCTTTTCTGAATATATACAAATTAACTCATCTCACAATTTTGTAACCAATAATAAAAATAAAATAAATTCATTTTAATTATTAATTATTTCTTAACATAAATATATCAATTTCTGAATTACAGGAGGTGTAACAACGATGGCGCCATTTCTCAAGAAATTCTTTCCATCAGTATTGAGGAAGGCATCGGAGGCCAAAACAAACATGTACTGCGCATATGATAGCCAGGTTTTAACAGCATTCACATCATCGTTATATATAGCTGGGTTATTTTCTTCCCTCGTGGCTAGCCGTCTTACTACCAAATTAGGCCGCAAGAATACCATGGTGCTAGGTGGCTGCACTTTCCTTGCCGGCGCTGCCATGAATGGTGGTGCTGCCAACATTGCCATGCTCATCCTAGGCCGTATCTTGCTTGGTTTTGGAGTTGGCTTCACTAACCAGGTTAATCAACACATTTGTTAAATTAATTAATGCTATTAAATCCAATATTTGGTATATAATATGAGAATATTTAATTACTAACAACGTGAGACGGGTTAAAATGAAGGCAACTCCTGTTTATCTATCGGAGGTAGCACCACCAAAATGGCGAGGCGCATTCAACACAGGGTTCCAATTTTTCATAGGCATTGGTGTAGTATCGGCTAATGTTATAAATTATGCTACAGCTAAGCATAGTTGGGGCTGGCGTCTCTCCCTTGGCCTTGCCATAGTACCTGCAGCTATAATGACAATCGGAGCACTGCTTATTTCAGACACTCCTAGTAGCCTGGTAGAACGTGGAAAGCTTGAGCAAGCTCGAAAATCTCTAATCAAAGTTCGAGGAATCGATACTAATGTGGATGCTGAGCTTGCTGAGCTTATCAAGTCTAGTGAAGTAGCCAAAGCTGCTCAAGAAGAACCTTTTGTGACTATTTTTGAAAAGCAGTACAGGCCTCATTTAGTAATGTCAATTGCTATACCATTTTTTCAACAAGTAACTGGGATTAACATAATTGCATTTTACGCCCCTGTTCTTTTTCAATCAGTTGGCTTTGGAAGCAATTCATCTTTAATAGCTGCTATAATACTTGGATTAGTTAATCTTGCTTCAATTTTGGTGTCTACGGGTGTGGTTGATCGTTATGGTCGAAGATTTTTGTTCATATTTGGAGGGACTCAAATGTTCATTTGTCAGGTATGCTTTTAATTGATCATTGGAACTGATGTTAATTATCTAATCATCGAGTTTTTATGCAGTAATACTATATTAAAGCATCTTCAAGATTATGAGATTTAATGTTTAAATCCCAATTTGAATTATATTTAACTCAGCGACATTTCATGTATAGGTAGCAGTAGCTTGTGTGCTAGCAGCGACAACAGGCGTTTCAGGCACGAAGCACATCTCCAAAGGCTACGCCATAGTAGTACTGGTTTTAATGTGTATATATGCTGCTGGTTTTGGTTGGTCATGGGGTCCTCTAAGCTGGCTAATCCCAAGTGAAATATTTCCTATGAAAATTAGACCTGCAGGTCAAAGTTTAAGTGTGGCTGTAAATTTCGCAACCACATTTGTTCTATCACAGACGTTCCTGACCATGCTATGTCACTTCAAATATGGGACGTTCTTATTCTATGCTGGTTGGATAGCCCTGATGACATTTTTTGTTGTATTTTTCTTGCCAGAGACGCGAGGAATTCCTCTGGATTCAATGTATCAAGTGTGGGAGAAGCACTGGTACTGGCGTCGGTTTGTTCAAGGGAAATTGTAGGCAAAAGTTTGCTTTACAATTATGGTTTTAATCTGGTTACAGCCTTTATGGGAATAACATTTTGTTAAGACAGTGTTAGAGAGCTTAATTATATTTTATACAGTATAAATGACACAAAAAATTCAACATTCTATATGTATAATTGTCTTATTTTATTTCTATTTTTGGTCCCTCCAAACGTTAAAATCTACATCCATCTAAGAATGGAAGGTGTGCATAATTTAAGCTACGAACCCCACAAACATCATAATTTGGGGCAATTATTATTTAATCCTCCCACAAGATAGCAACCAAAGTTGGTTCAGTTCCCGTTCCATCTTATGCGACGAATCATAAGCCAAACCTTATATCAATATATGAACCCTAGTTCTTTGTAATAATTTCATAACTTCGCTGTGTCGTAATAGCCGGTGGATGTTTTGCTGTTAACGCCCCTGCTAATGGCTTCAATGACAAAATAACAATATCAACAGTAACATTTAAAAAAAAAAAAAAAAAAAAAAACAATATCAAACTAGTAACAGTTTAAAAAAAAAAAAAAAAATAAAAAAAAAAAAAAAAAAAAAAAAAAAAACATTTTTTCATTTGATTGGTGCATGGGTGGTCCGCTAAACCAGGTCTAAGCAAAAAATTTCTAAATAATAACATCCCTGATACTCCTTTTGAGTATAAGTGTTTTCACTAATTTGATAAATTTAATAGAGGGTTATTCATGTTGCTCTTGTTTTCACTAATTTGGAATATATGGTTACATTATTTCTATTACAAGTACAGTGTAATTAATTTCTTCTATCTTTTTTGAATTGCCCAACTTTTCATAAGAAAAAAATAAAGATGAAAATGGATAAACAATGGTAATAGTTTACTTATATACTTAGTCTTATGCCGCATGTGCGGGGTTAATATTTATAAATAATTGATATAAATTAAATTTGATTGAAAAATATAAATAAATTAATATGACGGAAAAAAATAATAATTTTCATTCACTCTTTTTTTTTTATTTTTTTGTGACTATAATAATAAAAACTACTAATCCAATTTTTTCTATAAATTTGAAAATGATAAAGAAATTCTACACTAATAAATTAAAAACAATAAACTCACTTTCTTACCTAAACTAAAAATAATAAACATAAAAATTGCATTTGCAAATTAAAATAATTACTCAAACCATAAAATTACCTGAATGTAAAAGAAAAGAAACTTTAGGAATCGTTAATCATATATGTCTTTTCTCGAGATATAAATTTTTATTACTATCTAAAAATATGTTAAACATAAAAAAGAAAATAAGAATTTGTAAGATAAATATAAGAGATGTAGTACTTCTATACATAGTACTCAAAAGGGAATTAAAAAATAGGATAATTAAATTATAAAATAGTAAAATATTACATCAATTTATAGTTTGGTTATTAATTATTGGAAAAACTAATTAGTATTCTATTATTAGTACACAAAATCTATTATTTATATTATTAATCATTGCAACAGAAAAAAAAAGCTTTTATTATTGAAATAAATTTATTATATGGTTATTAATTATTGAATAAAGAAAATAAAAAGTTTATAATTTGATTTCTTCAAATTAGATAATTAAATAAAAATTTTAAAAATAATAAATTTCACATCATTAATTAGGTTTCATAATATCATGCTATGTAAGCAAATTTAATTGAGTTTTTATATATTTATATAGATAAATATATGCTAAAAGCTAATATAGCAGTACTTCTATTTGGAAAAAAAAAAAAAACAAACAAACAAACACAAAAATAACGTTGAGAGTAATATTATTTGGGGGTGTATGACCAAAATAATGTGTTTGTAAAACTATTTATAGAAATAATATGATTTTAATCATTATAATTTTTTATTGAGGAATTTCAAAAAATTTCAAGAAACATGAAAATGTATATGGTACGTGAGATTCAGTATGACTAAAAAACGATTCATTATAACAGAATCCGATTTTCTTTATTCCCTAATTTCTCTATTTTAATCAAACATGCTCTCTCTCACTCTGAGACGGCGAAACCCACCAATGCTACTGTTTTACCTCCCCTCCAATGCTAAAACGCTTCATCAAGAAGGCTTGGGAGTCCCAATCCTCTTTAGGTAAACCTATCTCTCTTTCTCTTCCTTCTTAGATATTAAAATTTCAAATTTGTCTTCTCTCTTCAAAAACATTTTCTCTTTCTTTCTTTCTCCCTGTTGACGACCTCTCTCTCCGATCTATTTTGTGCAGTACCTTTTAGAGAGAGCAAAGGGTACACATCTCATGTACATCTCTTTTATTTGCTTAATTTTATATTATGTGCATGAGAACTCTGAGTTATGAATCTCTTGATTTGCTTTTGTCTTACTAAATTAAGATCATTGCATGTGCTCATCTATTGATTTTGACCCATCTGATGAATTGAAAGAATTGAAACTGAAAAGCAAGTCAAAACTCTGATGGTGGTGATGATTTGGTAAGTGGTTGATTTGTCAAGAGATAAAGCCTCGCAAAAGTGCTTATTTTGCCAAAAAATATATATATATATGTTTAAAAAGCCTTCTTTTCCATTGTCTTTTTGGATACTGTAGAAAAGATGAGAATCCTTTATGATTTTGACCATCGTGAAGCTTTTTCAGCTTCTTTCTCAAATGGGTATCCAATAATTTTTTTATATTATTATCTTTTTCTTTATGGAAAATAAGATGATATGGCTTGGCTGCTTCCATAAATAAAATAAAATTGCCAAACATGCAATCGTGAACTGCCATATGTTGAGTAAGGGAACGTGCTTCTAATAAGTCTTTTATATTGTGCCTAATCCCAGAGTTAGTTCGATTGATTAAAATTTTAATCTATCAATTTTATTTTATTTATGGAAGCAGTACGCAAATTAATTAAGGAATGGATCTTTTTTTTTTTTTTATTGAATTCAATTTTCTATGTCCACTCAGCTTGACAAATCATCAATTGCCACATAAGTTGAAGACACTTAATTAAAAGCTTTTAGGAGATTAAACACCTGCTAATATTTTCGCTGAGACACCAAAATGAAAAATTTTGATAAGTTTAGACACTAAACTTATTTGTTTCTACTTTCTAGGAATTTCTTGTATATATATTCTTGTCAAAAAAAAAACTGTAATTATATCAAAAAATTTTTTTTTGGTAAATAATATCAAGAATTGTAGAACAAAATTTTTCAATTAATAATCAAATGATAGAGCCTCAATTTAGTGCAGAATCTCAATAATTCAGATTTGTACAACCTTCTCTTTTTAAAATTGTGATGTTTTAAAAAACAATTGCATGCAAAACTTAATAACCTAAGAAAAATACAAATTTAATCAAAAGATGACGCTTATCGGCCCCCACCAGTTCTGCTTATTTGTATTTTGACCTCTCCAATGTTTAAATTTTAACTCCATATTTCTTTTTTATTTTTTTTTTCATTTATCGGAAAGTTTAATGGGTCGATTAATGCCTGGAAATAAATATTGTGAGCTGTAGAAAACCGCTGCCTCCTTATCTCACCAATTAACTAATTAAATAAGAATATTTATAGTGAAGAAGACTCAAACAGAGGTAATTTTCTTATCACTTCAATAATGATAAAAAGAATGAGATGAAGGGATAACAAGACCAAGGGAGTATTATCGTGGTATAAATGTTGTAACAAATTAAAAATAATGCATGAAAAAAAAAAACAATAATGCATGAGCTTTTCATATCTCTGTGACTGTTTTACCAATAAAACAAGTGCATATACAAGAGAAAGCACCGAGTAATTCCTCCGTCCACCCTTTTCAGGAAACTTGGCTATAAAATGCATTTTTCAACCTCGTTAGCTATAGCTAGGTGCATCTTTTTTTGTTGCTCTGTTTTAACTTCAACAAAAGCTGGACCCTGTTCGGATTGAAGGAAATGGCTGTCGGAGGTTTTGCTGTTGACGGGCCTGCCAATGGCTTTAACGGCAAGATAACAGTATCAGTTGTGATTACTTGCATTGTAGCTGCATCTAGCGGCCTCATCTTTGGCTATGACATTGGAATTTCAGGTATTTTTGTTTTTGTTCATTAACATCTTCAAATTAATCCGCTACTGTTTTGTTTTTTTTTTCCCCCTTTAAAGGGAATATATCAACAGTTAATTGGTTTGATCTTGTGTATTCACTTCCGTAGCTGTCAGATTTTGAAAGTTTGAACCTAGGAAATGGCGAAAATAACTAAAAAGGTATAGTCTTTGAAATTTTTGCATTACAGGAGGTGTAACAACAATGAAGCCATTTCTCAAGAAATTCTTCCCATCAGTATTGAGGAAGGCATCGGAGGCCAAAACAAACATGTACTGCGTATATGATAGCCAGGTGTTGACAGCATTCACATCATCTTTATATATAGCTGGGTTAATTTCTTCCCTTGTAGCTAGCCGTCTCGCTGCCACAATAGGCCGCAAGAATACCATGGTGCTAGGTGGCTGCACTTTCCTTGCCGGCGCTGCCATGAATGGTGGAGCTGCCAACATTGCCATGCTCATCCTAGGACGCGTCTTGCTTGGTTTTGGAGTTGGCTTCACGAACCAGGTTAATTAATGCTATAAATTTCATACTTTGGTATAATATGAGAACATTTAATTACTAACAACGTGAAACGGGTTAAAATGAAGGCAAGTCCTATTTACCTATCAGAGGTGGCACCACCAAAATGGCGAGGCGCATTCAACACAGGATTCCAATTTTTCATCGGCATTGGTGTAGCATCGGCTAATGTTATAAATTATGCTACATCTAAGCATAGTTGGGGCTGGCGTCTCTCCCTTGGCCTTGCCGTAGTACCTGCAGCTCTAATGACAATCGGTGCACACCTTATTTCAGACACTCCTAGTAGCCTGGTAGAACGTGGAAAACTTGAGCAAGCTCGAAAATCTCTAATCCAAGTTCGAGGAATCAATACTAATGTGGACGCTGAGCTTGCGGAGCTTATTAGGTCAAGTGAAGTAGCCAAAGCTGCTCAAGAAGAACCTTTTGTGACTATTTTTGAAAGGCAGCATAGGCCTCACTTAGTAATGTCAATTGCTATACCATTTTTTATGCAAGTAACTGGGATTAACATAACTGCATTTTATGCCCCTGTTCTTTTTCAATCAGTTGGCTTTGGAAGTAATTCAGCTTTAATAGCTGCCATAATAATCGGATTAGTTACTCTTGCTTCAGTTATGGTGTCTGCGGGTGTGGTTGATCGGTTTGGTCGAAGATTTTTGTTCATATTTGGAGGAACTCAAATGTTCATTTGTCAGGTATGCTTCTCATTAACTGTTTAAACTAATGTCCATTAACTAATCAATGAGCTTCAATCCTATAATACTATACTGGAGCGTTTTCAGGATTATGAGATTCGAAGTTTAAATCCCAATTAAAAAATAAAAGAACATTAACATATTGTTATCTATTGGTTGACTATGTATTTTACACGTGGCATTCTTATGTATAGGTAGCCGTAGCTTGTGTGCTAGCAGTAATAGAAGGTGTTTCAGGCACCAAGCACATCTCCAAAGGCTGTGCGATATTAGTACTGGTTTTTATGTGCATATATAACGCTGGGTTTGGTTGGTCATGGGGTCCTCTAAGCTGGCTAATTCCAAGTGAAATATTTCCGATGAAGATTAGACCTGCAGGACAAAGCATAAGCGTGGCTGTAAACTTTGCAACCACATTTGTTCTGTCGCAGACATTCCTAACCATGTTATGTCACTTCAAATATGGGATATTCATATTCTATGGAGGTTGGCTAGCCCTGATGACAATATTTATCGTACTTTTGTTGCCGGAGACAAAAGGAATTCCTTTGGATTCAATGTATCAAGTGTGGGAGAAGCACTGGTACTGGCGTCGGTTCGTTCAAGGAAAATTGTAGCTTTACAATTAATTATGGTTTTAATCTGGTTATAGTCTTTATGTGAATAAAATTACGAAGTGAAGTGTAATAGAAATAGTCTAAGGCAGCGTTCGGAGAGCTTATTATATCTTTGATATTCACCAATAAAAATAGAGAGTACACTTTCCCTGCAAGATAATGCTTCTTTTTAAAAAAAAAAAGTCCATATACTTACATTATTTTAAATTTATTCTATTATTTTTTTAATTTTTGACCATGTAATTATTAACTTTATGTGCGGTGCCCACTCAAGTGGGACCCACAATAAATTTGAGAGAAAAAAAAAAAACACACGTTTGTTTTTTCTTTTCAAAGGTTTGCAGCCAGCTATTCAAAGGTTGGCATGCCATTTGACAAAACAGAGTGCCGTGCATTGGTAATGCACGGCGCTCTCTAATTCTCTCATTCCCTCTCCTATAAATAGTAGAGGATGTTCCTCAGTTTAATGCACACAGCAGAAATACAAAGAAAAAATATAGAGAGTTAGTTATTTAGTTTTAGGAAGGGTATCTTAAAATTCGGAGAGAGAAAAATAGTGAGGAGATTATTTTGGGGTGTTTTTGGGAAACACTTTTGTGTGCCACTATTTTTGTATTACTCTTTCTGTGTATCTACTATTTTTAATAGTGGAAGAATGATTCGGATTTTTATCCCGTGGACGTAGCCCCAAACAGTTAAAGGGTGAACCACGTACATATCTGTGTATCACAAGGTTACTTTTCCGCTGCGTTAATTTTCTCTTAATTAGTTGAAAGGGCCCAACGAGTGGTATCAGAGCTAATACCCAACAACTGGTATCAGAGCTGATTCCTAGCAAGTGGTGTTAAAGCTGATCCCTAACAAGTGGTATCAGAGCCGAAGGTTTCAACAGGTCTAGCCGGTCAGATAGCGGTACCGGATCCATGGATATATTTTGAAAATAAATATACCACGACGAAGAGAAAATTACAACGAGTCCATTGGTGTGATTCGGATTTTTAATCGCCCCGATGGACAGGGTAGCGCGCCGTAAACAGGTTAAAGAGGGTGAACTTACACGTACAATATCTGTGTGATCACAAGGGGTTACTTTTCGGACTGCGTTAAAATAATTTCTCTTAATTAGTTGAAGGGTCGGCCAACGCGTGGTACAAGGAGCTAATAACCCACACACTCGGTTATCAGACAGCTTAATTCTAGAAAAGTGGTGTTAGGCTGTCCACTAAGCAGTGGTATGCAGGGAGGGACGAAGGTTTCACAGGTCGAGCCGGTCAGATCAAATAAGCGGTACCCGGAGCCGGGATCCATGGAGGATCATAATTTTGAAAATAAATATAAGCACGACGAAGAGAAGAATTACCCCCCAAGACTCGAGTTGCCATCTGGTTTGGATGTTCCGCATCTGGGCAAAAGACGATATGCGCAGTCAAGTGGTCGTGCGGGAGAGTCAGATGCTAAAGAAGCTAGTGGATGAGAATGGGAGCCGCGGGACGAGAAGAGGAGAGGATGCGAATCGACTTAGTGATAGAATAGGTAATAACATAGTGCCTCCGAGCGGCATTATGATGGTGAGAATCAGTTACTAATTCGGCAGTTCACTATTGTGAGAATGACTCCAGTCACTGGATAGTGGACGCCCTTTTAGCGTATAGTACTATGTCACAAAGTACAGTAGCTATTAGTATAGTAATTTTTCGTGCTACCGGAGTATTACTATTCGGGAATGCGAAATCAACAGGACGCAGTAGACTGTTACTCATTGCATAGGTCACTATTCGACATAGTTATACTACTGTTCGGCTTATCACGTTTATGTTGGTGAGATGGATAATTCAAGTCACAAGGTCAAAATGGACTGAGTGAGCGAAATGATCAAGGGTAGACTAATGGTGGGAAATATCATACCAATATAATGGAGACAATGAGAGAGTCTCAAATTCACATGGGTAAATCAGGATGCATTTCGGCTGCTGTAGTTAGTTGAACTAACCGAAAACAGCGCAAGACTGCATAAGAGAATGGAGATTTATTTCAGAGCGCAAATGGGGCACCAGCGTCAAATACTTGGTATGGCATATTTGAATGAACTGAAGGGATTTCTGGAGCACCCTTCGCAGCAAATAGTACAACCTGGAAGCTCACATAGGTTTCATTTGGATGGGTAAGTTAGAAGACGAATAGGAAAAGATCTGACAGGCGGTGTTCTTGTGTCGACAAGTCTTCTCGACAAGAGGCAAGGTCGGCGGAGAGCCGCGTGTCGCCGCGAGATTGGTGAGCGGCGGTACAGCAGTATGGGTTTGGCAGAATACTAATAGAGTTCATCGTTGGAAAAGGGATACTTGGCAGACTAGCCTGCAGTGTCAAATGGATTTTCCAATGATATCGCGCAAATCACCATTTGGGCAAACGGGAGGAGCGGTTGTGTCTGTGGAGCACAGTCCAAGATTACTAGAAGGCGGTGGCAAGGTTGCTGTGTAACAACAGAGACCAGAGACAGAAGTGAAAAGATCTGCAGAGTGGCTGGGCCTTGTGTCGGGAAGTCCTTCCCGGCCAAAAGGGAGGTCGGGGCGGCCGGGTGTCCCGCAGAAGTTGTAGGTGACCAAGATACAGAGTGAGTGCGGGTCTCAGATCGTAAATGAGATTATAGCTGGCAGGAGATGATGAATGGCTAAGCGTTCCCACTTGAGTGTAAGGGGAAGATTTGCTTGTGGCGGCGCATAGCCAGTCAGGTGAGGGAGCACTCAATGGGAGCCCACAATAAATTTGAAAGAAAAAAAACAATAAACACCGGTTTCTTTTTTCTATTTCAAAGGTTGCAGCGCAACCTTATTCGAAGGTAGGTATGGCATGCCATCGAAAGTGGGCGTTGACGTAAAACAGGGAGGATCCGGTGAGGCAGGTACCATTCCTAATATCTGCGCGGACCATTTCTGATCGTCGCTTACGAAGAAAAAATGTAGAGACGTATAGTTTTTATGCGTAGCTTTAAGAAGGGGTTTTCTAAACAACTAGTTGAGAGAGAAAAGATAGTGAGGAAGGTTAGGATATATTGGGTGTTATTTGAAACACCTTTTGTGTGCCCAGGCTATTTTTCGTATGTAACTACTCATTTGTGTAACCTACTTGATTTAATAGTCAGGGACAAAGAATGAATTCGAGACAATTTTTTTGTCGCGTGACGTAGCCTAAACGAAGTGTAAATAGGGATGACAAACCAACGGGTAAATATCACCACAATAAATTTGAAAAGAAAAAAAAAAATAAACACACGTTTTTTTTTTCTTTTCAAAGGTTGGCAGCCAACTATTCAAAGGTTGGCATGCCATTTGACAAAACAGAGTGTCGTGCATCTCTCTAATTCTCCCATTCTCTCTTACGAAGAAAAAAATGTAGAGAGTTAGTTATCTAGCTTTAAGAAGGGTTTCCTAAAACTAGGAGAGAGAAAAATAGTGAGGAAATTATTTTGGGGTGTTTTTAGAAAACACTTTTGTGTGCCACTATTTTTGTATTACTCTCTTTGTGTACCTACTATTTTTAATAGTGGAAGAATGATTCGAATTTTTGTCCCGTGGACGTAGCCCTAAACAGTTAAAGGGTGAACCACGTAAATATCTGTGTGTAATATTTCTATTTTTCCGCTGTGTTATTATTATTCTCGTAATTTTATTGCCGGGACCTTAACACTTTATATATTATCCCCACTAGCTAGATTTTCTAGATCCACCATCCTGTGTACACTTGCCATTTGCAAGTCAAAATATTGATTCCCAGAGCTTATATTCATCTTCCGCTTCCTGTCTCATTGTGGACAGAAAAGATTTCGTGTAACAGGAAAAGGATTTACTTACGGGAGGAAAAATTTCCTCGTCTCGTGCACGTGTCGCACGAATTTGCAAAAACCATTGGTAATTGGTTTCTCAGCCTCTTAACAACCTTTTAAATTAGCATAGTCCATGAGTTGTCATGATGGGCTTGAGTTTGTAGTGTTTAAGAAGGTTATTAAGCTGGGCTTCAATGTTCAATTAAAACTACCTGACAGATATGAATTTAATTGACATTGTAAAACAAATCCACTCAAGCATTTTAAAAAAAATTAAAAATTAAAAAAAAAATCAGACTCTAATGGTATAGAATAATTTTTCCAATTTCAAATAAGATTGTCAATTTACATTATAATTTGTCAAACCCTACCAATTAACCTAATAATAGGGATTAAAATAATTATCTTGTGCTTACTAATCATTAATCACCATTAACTGAACTATAATGAATGCAATAGCATTAGAAAAATGATGCAATTCTAATGAAAATAAATAAAAAATAAAAAAAAGAAAAGAAAACATGTGTTTCATTATTATTTGAAAAGTCTAAATAAATTATACAGTTGAATCAAAAAGTAGATGTTCTGGTCAGATTAATGTGCTAATAGTTTCTAAGATGTTGATGTCTTACATTTAATAACATGGTAGGCTAAATCAAGTTGGACTGTTATTATTATTATTATTATTATTATTATTATCATCATCATCATCAAAGAAAGTGGAGACAAAAAGCTTAAATTGATGGTGGTGGCGATGAGGATGATAGTTACCGAAAACCATAAAAATTGCCATGGAAAAGTTTAAGTTGCAGGAAAAATTAAGCCCAACCAGTTTACACCTAACTTGGGCCAATCTCAATTTTATTTTTCTTTTTCAGTTTTTTTAGGGTCCATCATTATAATGATTTGTTCCCTAAATTGGTTGGTGTTAGATGAGATGAAAGTAGCTCTCAAATCAATTCACTTTCCCTCTTAAACCCTAAAAAATACACTAATGATGACAATTTGGTTACCAGTTGTTAGTTCATTTTACTATTATGATCACGTGGCATGTTATTGTTAGAGCATTTTCATAATTTAATTTTGAGTAGTTTGAAATTTAATGCTTTGTCAAGCTTTTTTCTTCTAAAACCATAAAAGGTTATGGCTCCCTAAGCTCAATCTTGTTTGTTTCCATTTTTGTATATGCCTAACACTCTTGTTTTCTGCATTGAAATCATTTGAATTTCAAGTAGTTCAAGAAAAATTATATTGATCCCAAGTAAAATTAACCTTTTCTTTTGTTAATTTCTTAACCAAGCAATATTGATCAATTAATAGTTATTCAAAGGATGTAATTTAGAGCATGTTTGATTTAGTTCTTTTATATGGATTCTTTGGCTAGTTGTTTGTCACAGTTAAAAATATAATTATTTTCATAGATGATATATTTTTACTTTTTTTAATGTGAATATATTATTTTCTATTTTAAAGTGGTATATAAATAGAAACATTAATTAAATATTTTTATAATAACATTTAATAGTTACATGTTATTTCAATAATTATATTAAAAATAATTCCATAAAACTATTAAAATATCAAAAAATTATTAATAATACTTAAGATAGTTTGATATAATAGTTCAATCGCAATAGATTCCACCCTAATGATCATAGGATCGAGTTATCAAGTTAGCATCTTGAAAATGGTTTTTTCTGCTTATAAAACTAAAGTTGTGAAATAATTTTTTCTATATTTTAATAAATTATTAGAAAATAAATCACTCTTGCTGCATATATAAATAAAACTATTAGACATAAAATTAAATAAATTGCAAGGGTTTGAAGCTTGAACTATCAGAGTCATGGAATGGAGAAACTGATAGAAATATGCAGTAGAAATGGTGAAAGTAATGTGGACCCACATAATAGATTTTGTACACCTAAAAAAGGGTCCCATCCAACATAACTGCTTGATGAAAAAAATTAATGTATGGTTGCAGTGAATTGGTTGATAGTCTAATGAATGAATAAATTTCCATACAAAGGAAGAAATTGTACTTTGGAAAGGATAGTTTTGCCCATTCTCTTTTCTTCTGTTGGCATCACATTTAAGTCACACTCCTAACTGAATTCTCCTTTTTTTTTTTTTTTTTTTGAAAGAAGAATTCCTAATTTCTAAACAATACTGGACACCCTAATTATTATATTTAGCTAAATATGGAACAATTATATTGGATTAATCACCTCCTATTGCCTTTTTGAACAAGGAATATTGAAAATTACATATAATAAAAGCTTAATTTGCATTATCTACATATAAATGTGTGGAAAATTACAAGATTAATGTTTTTTTAATTATAATTAAATGGCATAATGGATTTATTATTATCATTGTGGAGAAAAGGGAATTGAATCAAGAAATTTATATAGGCTCTATTTGGAAAAATTATATATAAGAATTCAATTGGATTTAATTGCATTGATAGAATTGGAAATTGCATTGAATTCTTGAGTGAGAATCGTTTTAAAAATCGTACAAATGACTTGAATTTAATTTATTGTCTTAATTATGCTTGTTTCTTTAAAAATAATTGATAATATCATAACTTTAAGTGACTATATTATACTTTATAATTACGTGATTTGATTAAGAGCCTAATCTAATTAATTTGCATTCTCCAAAAAAAAAAATATATATATCTACGTAAAATAAAATTTTGTAACATCAAATTTAAAAAATGATGTGATTTCAAATATTCAAAATTGATTATAAAACCAATCTGATTGAATTATTTATTTTCAAGAAATATCACATTCCTAAATATAAAAAGTTAATAGAATAGGACTTATTTGAAGTAAATACTTTTGGAATTCTCTCGAGGAATTATTGGAGAAAAGCCTAAAGTTTGCTCGAGTTCGAATTCTCTCGATCACAATTGGTTTCACCAATTGAGTGAGCCAATGAGAGGATTACCCATGTTGGATAATCCACAATATTATTTCGGGCTATAAAAGTCTCCAATAAATTAAAAAAAAAGCCTAAATTTTACACTCAATGGTCTCTTAAACCTAGAAATTGTTCTTCAACCTCAATCAACCAATTTTGTGACATATGAAAAATGGGGAACTATATATATATTTAAAATCATTAATTTGCCTTTTACGTTATTATCTTACTTATTTTCAGTTTCCATATATAGATATAAATGTTGTATGTATAGTCATAAACTAATATTAAAAGAAGGCCGGTATGACTAACCCGATTGTCGGTCCAAAACATAATTTTAATTCCTAGCACCTAATTTAATTTAATTTGATGTTAACAACACCAGTAGAACCTTTCAAAATTGATCAATTTAAGAAAGAAATTTAAAGGGAATTTAATTACGGGATGATGATGCAGAGTAGATTCTGACAATTATTATTCTTATAAGTCACGAAAGAGAAATAAAAAAATAAAAAAATAAATATCTGATGGAAAAAATAAAAGAGATATAAACATAAATGAAGGGAAGAAGAGGTGGGTTGAGAGCATTTAACAGAAGAAGGAAGTTGAAGAAAGCAAGGTGTGTTGGTGTTTCAATTGAATGGTGACCTTTGAATTCTGCATTTAAGTGGATTGAAGATGAGTTAATGAAGGCAGGTAGAGTTTTCTTGAACCCTTAGCTTCTTTTCTCTATCCATGCTTTTAATACATTTGGTCCATTTTTTTTTAATTATTTGATTTTTAATTTCTGCTAATAATATTTTTTTTAAATGAAATTTTCTACTTTGAATTCATTAATTAAGGTAGGTTTTATACCCAAAATACCATTTTAAGTGTCCTCCTTTGACTACTAGCAATGAAATAGGGTTGGAATTTATTTAATCTTGCTGTGAGGTCTATTTTAGGGTCCAGCCAATTTATATTTGGTTGGTGAAATTTGGTTAAGGACACAACTTATAACTCTATAAGGATAACCACTAAATGCCTCTGCTCCATCTTTTTCTCATGCTAAGTTAACCTAATTACCGGGTCGAAATATAATTATATAATTAAATCATTAAAACCATATATATTTTTTAATCAAAGGTGTATAGTATAATAATTTAAATTCCCAATTTGGGTGAAATTTGAAAATGGTTGTTGAATTGAAATGCATATCAAAATATAAAATTATTTAAATGAACAATCACATGAGATCTATGGCATATGTTTGCATTATTATGAGATATAATTTAGTTGATAAGTAGATTTATTTATTTTATTTTATTTGATGTGCACGTGTATATATGTTTTCATGCTCAAGTTAGAAGTGGTAGATCTACGTAAAGCCTCTTAACAATAACGAGGCTATATCTTAAATTTTTAACGTAAAGTTCACATGAGATATAGTCTATAAATTGTCTATTTTATCAAAAATTAATACAATAAGTAGAATTTGAGATTAAAAAAAAAAAAAAAATCATACAAGCATATTTAAAATGCGTTTCAATGCATAAATTTGAACTATCTGAATCAAAATCAAATTTTAGAAAGTGACAAATGCAAATAACAGTCGACATTTCAAGAGCATGCTTGTGTTTGTGTGGTGGTGACGAGTTTGAAATTTTATACATATTAATTAAGAACCATGAAATAAGACCTAGGTAGAAAGTCATGTTTATTTATTTGAATTATGACTTATACCAATATGTTTATTTATTGTTGGTCAAGGCAGATTTAATTTAACAAGAAAAGAAAAAGGATTTTGGTGCGAGAAAATTCAACCGAAGGGATGAAAAAGAAAAAGAGGATATCCTAATGGGTGAGATGAGATAACAAGGATTCATTTTTTAGTTGAAACCCTGAAAATGAAGGCTATTTGATGCAAATGCGCAAATCCGAACGTTATTTATTTAAGTTTTGGTAGTTAAATTTATAGCTGAGGGTGTTGAGAGCTTTAAAAGCTTTTGGAGAGGAGTGATTAATTGATGCAGTTCATGGGATCTGGTTTTTGTTTTAATAGAGAGAGAGAGAGAGAGAGAGGAAGGAAGGGGAAGGTGTTGAAAGCTTTAAAAGGTGTAGTTCTTTTGAGTGACCCAAATGTGGAAGTTGGAGTTGTGATCTTTTAAAGCATTCAAAACCTTCTTCAACTGTATACAATATACAGTCTCTTTTCATTTAATGACACCTCTCCCTCTCTCTGTCTCACCGCCTCTAATTAAGTTAGTAGAAAAAAACATTTCTGCTTACATTCAATGTATATTCATTTTTCGTAAATTCGATTAATAGTTGATTGTTATTTAAATACGAGTAAATACCTTTAGTTTATTTTTTTTAGTAAAAAAAAATTCAAATATTTCACTTTATTATTATTATTAAATTTGTTAGGCATGTAAAGAAGAAATACTACCATATATTTGGCTTCTACTTAATTTTTTTTTTGGAAAAAAAAACATTATTTTGATAATTAAGGATCTATATATTTTCCAAGTTGAAAACTGTTTTTATAGGGAAATTCTATTTAGATAGTATTACCTTTGTCAAAAACTTCTATTCCTTATCAATTCGATTAACCATGTCAAACATTAACAACAAATTTTTAGCAACCTTTACTAATATTTTAATATATGAATAGTTTCTGACTTCTAACAATTAATAATAGAAAGTTAACGAAAAACTAAGAAAAAAGAGATTAATAAAACGGCTGTTTACACGTGATATTATTTTATTTAATATAATTATCTATTTTAATTTTTCGACTAAAAAGTTTTGGTCAAAAATACATGGAATTGAAAGAAAATATATCCATTCAGACATTTAATTGATAAAAAATTTAGACAATAAAATATTAAAAAATTCAGAAAATAACTATAAAAAATTTTTCCGAAGGATTTTTACAATATTTTCTGATTAATTATTTTTGTCTCCGAATTAATCTTATCCTTTTTCTTAATAGAAACGTAAAGAACAATGAAATAGCAGGTTTTGAATATCTGGTTGCGTGATGGGTAATTTTTGGTGCGAATGTGATCAGGTGTGTATGCATAGTTGCCACCAAAGAGTTTTGGTTAGGCACTCAAGCTTGCATTTTCTTGGTCTTGAGGATTAATTAGATTGGAGCTGTACACTGTAGAAAAATTGAAGACCCAACTTGGATTTATCCCACGTCATGCATATATAACTAGCTAGGGTAGGTCCCTTCAATTTGCCTTCAAAATTGCCCTATAAGATTCTGCTTTGCAGTTATTTGCCTGACCCTTCAGTCCCATCTAACCCTATATATATATATAACCCTCAATGACACTTCATTTGATCTTATAAATTCAATTACCTAGAGAGAGAGAGAGAGAGAGAGAGAGAGAGATTTACTATAGAGCTATGGTTTCTCTTCATAAAGCACCTGCCTCTTCCTCTCCAAATGGAACCAAAACAAGCCCTACTGGTCATCAGTTTGATTATTCATCAAAGAAAAGAAAGTGGGATGATGATCATGATCATGATAAGTCACAAACTGAAGGGAGTTTCCATAGAAGATCATCAAAACCACTTGAAACTATAAAATCTTTGTTTGAAATAGAGCTTCAACTCGAGACTCCTTTGCCTTTGGAGTGGCAACGATGTCTAGATATTCAGGTATTACTGTTTTATTTTCCTTTTTCGTTTTCTATATTACAAAACAAGGACTCGACCACTGAATTATTATTCTAAATATGAATTATTTGATCACATAGAACATATAATAAATAAGAAAAGAAAATTCTTGTCTTTGCATGCAGTCGGGGGAGATACACTTCTACAATACAAGAACTCAAAAGAGAACAACTAGGGATCCAAGGAGAAGCCCAGAGCCAGAGCCAGCAAGTCCTCCTAGTAGCCATATGAGCTTAGAGCTTGAGCTAAATCTTCCATGTGACCAGTCTCAAAGGAAAAACATTAGTCAAAACGACAATAGTGCAAAGCAGAACAATAATTTTACTAGCTCCATAGAAGATGCAGCAGGTTTGGGCGATTTGTTCATGGATTCAAGAAAAGATCATAATAGTAAGAACGCACAAGGACAAATCATGAAGCGGTGTCCGTCTTGGTTAGCATTTGAAGAAGATAAAGTAGAAGAAGAGATGGTAGCTGCAGTTTGCACCAAGTGTTATATGTTAGTGATGCTTTGCAAGTCTTCTCCTTCTTGCCCTAACTGCAAATTTATGCACCCACAACCAGACCAGAACCATCTATCCTCTAATAAGCTATTCAAGCAAAGGCTTAGTCTCTTGTGCTGATTAAGAGTTAAGAATGATCATATTTATGTTTAATTAATTAGGATTAATAGCATATCTATTACAAAACACAAGATTAGAGTTGGCTAGCTAGCTATTCTAGATCTTGGTCCAAATTTAATTTATAATTTAGCCTGTATTCCGTCTTTCAATTGAAAAGCAACTGGTTGTGATGTTAAGATGAGAGAGAGAGAGAGAGAGAGAGAGAGAGAGAGAGAGAGAGGGAGACTGACTTGTATCATGTACTAACTTGAGAGAATATACAAGTGTTATTCCAATATTGTTGGCTAGTACTACCATACAAAAACATTATATTGTTTTATTAAAGTGGGATTGACTTGCTTAGAAGAGTATATATATATATCTAAAGACTAAACTAATAAAAATAAAATTTTTTATTAAAATAAATGTATTTTCAATTAATCATACACGCAAATAAAAAATAAAGTTATAATATTTTTAAAACTATCCATATTTTTATTGGCCCATTCATGGGCCCGATATAGGTAAATATTTTCTAAAGAAATTCAAATTTTAGATTAATTATCCAATAACTCATTTAAGTAAAATATAATAATTAAATAAATTTAAAATTTATTCTAATTTTATCATATAATTATTAAAATGCAACTGGGAAATATAAAAGTGCAACTGAAGCAAGTGCCCATGTACGTGGCTTAGGCTGAGATACAGTAGCACTATGATTAGATTGGGGAACAAAAGGTGAGTGAGGTACATAAATACATCACTTATTTGTGAAACTTTTTTTAGTCTGATGTGGTGAATGATAGCAGAATGAGAGTTAGTATCTATCTTTAGCTAGACTCTTTTGCAAACTTTTCGGGCTTAATACATTGTTTCTTAACTTTTTACTATATAGCAATTTTACTATATTTTGACTTTTATATCAATTTAACTCTGAATTTTCATCTTCTATTACAATAGTACTTTAAATTATAATTAAAATTTAAATTGCAAATAAAAAGTACATCAATGTGGAATCCACTTTTGATCTTGGATTAACTTAATCCAAATTTTCTTACATAAATTTGTTAAATTTGTTAATTTTAATCGTTGTCTTGTGCGAATAATATTTTTTCGTTCTATAATTATAAATTATAATTTATCATAATTATATCTTATATTCTATTTTGATAAAGAAAATCATTTACAATTTCTAGTTAATAAGTCAAATAATTTCATATAGCTTTGTTTTTTAGATTTTATAGTTGTTTCAATATTTACATTAAAAATCAAACAACAACAGTAATTAGTTCATCGTTTAAGTATTCTATTTTATTTTTTAAAAAAAAAAACAAGGTTTCTATATATCAAATAGTGCATTTTTATTTATTACTTATTAACAATTAAATAAATAATTAAAAATATTAGAAAATAATAATAGAGATTTTTACCAAAGCTCCCTCGCTCACATAGTAAAGTATATATTAATTTAATCCAAGTCTAAAGTCAAGAGTGATTTCCATTAGTTATATATTTTTAATTTTCAATTTAAATCTTAATTATAATTTAGGGTGTAAAAGGTTAACGGTGAAATTGATATAAATATCAAATTGAAGTGAAATTGCAACAAAACGCAGAATTCAGAGTAAATCAATATATTATCCAACCTTTCAACGAGCACGAAGAACGGTAACTATTTAATTAAAATGTAATACAAAATGCATGTCCTATTTAACATCTATATATTAATTTGCATTGGTTTAGAATGATAAAATTAGAATATCATTTATCGTTCTTTAAAATACTCAAAAATTATTATATTTACAAGTGTAAAATTGAAAAAAAAAGTTATTTAATCCTTAATATTTTCAAAACAACTTACGTTTAGGCATAAAAATTATTCTTAAACAAATTATTTTAAAACTATTTACATTCGTAAAGGGTTAGTAAAACGAGGAAAAAAACAGGAATATTCCATTACTTTAAGGTTTTAGTGTTTTAGTGCTGTTAAAATTTTGAAAGAAGGAAAAACGATCAGTCAAAGAAATTTCAATCGACTTAAAGTCAAGCGGTCCTCTCTCATCCGGTTCCCTCGCAATTTTCAAAAATCCAAAACCACACAGAAAGCTTTACCTCGCTTCTGACAATTCATTTCAAAACTCAAAGATCGATAACAGAATGGAGGGAGCCAAAGCAATTCGCTGTGCCAAAGCCGCTTTTCTCCTTTACTCGCTGAAAACGTCCTCAAAACGCTATTTCAAGACCCCAGTCAACGATCAGGACGAGGTTAAATTTACTCTCCTCTCTGTCTCTCTCTCTCTCTCTCTCTCTCTCTCTCAATTGAATCGATTCTTTTGCTTTTCTCTAAATTCTACTTTGTGCCTCAAATCTACTAGCTGGAGAAGGATCTGATGCTGACAGAAATTGAGGATCTGAAGATGAAATTGGCGAGGGAGCGAATTAAGAATAAGAAGATTAAGCTCTGTGGTCTAATAGAAGTGATTCTTCAAGTCATGGTGGTTTTGTCCTGTTCTACTGTCCTTTTGATGCTTGCTTTCAAGTCTTCTTCAAATTAATGAGAATCTGCCTTTTGTGTTGTGTCTGTTATTCTAGTAGAAATTAAAAAACTCTGCAAGTGCTAGATATTGTGCCTTCAAGGGTTATTATATCGGAAGGAAGGATAAAGCTTGAACTAGTGTACTATGAGAAATTTCGCTTAAGACGCATTACTGTGAAAAGTAGTGAAACGGCAAGGTGTTTTCTTCTCGACATTTAGCTCCAATGTCTGCAAATGGGCTTGCATCCAGGCATGTGTTGTTAAATTGAATATACTCAAACATTGCTTTATTCTGTGATTATGTTTGCCAGTTGGCAACTTGGCGAGTTCAAGGTGTTTGGTTGCACGATAAAAAACACTTTGGTATAAGCTCTCTTCTATCTTACCATTTTCACTTTTGTGAGTTTAACAGTTCATCCAATTTTTGTTCTTTTTGAGTAAAAACTCACCAAGTTTTGTCATTTGTGAAGATGTAAAATAAACCAATACTGCTGAAGTAAAAGGGCTGCCAATGCCACTTTTCTGCTAACCTTGTGAATGATAATTAGATGATTACATTTTAAAGAGAAACCCGATTTTAAAAATCTTCTAACTTGCCACTCAATTTTGGGCTTGATAACACGACATAAACCCAAAATAACATCGTTCTGTCAAGATAACATCTTAAATTTATCGTATTCATGTCATTATCCTGTCAACCCAATTTTGACACAAAAATAATCATTTTGTGTAATGTTGCAGGTTGACCCATTAATCCATTAATGACTTCAAGTTGGTTCTAAACAGATGAAAAGAGTCTTATCTCCTCTATAAAGAAAGAAAATTATCGTTCTTTTATATGTATGGAACTTCGAACCCATCTTATCTTCTGAAACCATTAACTGAATCTGGGCTAAGACCTGGTTGGTACCACTGATGAGTCCATATAGTTAACTTCCATACTCTACGGTCTAAATTATTTTAAGTATTAAGGAAAAAAAAAAAAAAAAAAGAAAACAGATGAAGCTGAAGCATGAAAATTAGGCTTTTAATTAAATCACATAGATGAGATGGAGAAATAGAGTTCACTGCTTCAGCCATACGTATTTCCTCCTTTGTCATTAAAGCAAATATAGCGTCATATTCTCCAAAATAAAACGTTTATTTACAAGCAGTCTGATATATGTCCTACCCCAGCAGAGATAATATTATTGGACAGAAGCTGTGCTGGAAAACAGCAACAAACCTCAAATATTTCCTCTCGCATGATTGTCGCACGAATTAGGCAGTTTTGGAGGGTCTCCTAGGCGGACAGTAAGCAGGCGAGCCTTACTCTCAACAGCAAAATTCAGAAGAAAGCTGTACTTTTCTGACCTGAAGGAACCGAACAACAATATGCTGCAAGACTGATCTCTTCATGTATGGATCCATTTGTTACTTCAAATTCAAAATCTTCAAAGCATCTCTGCAGAATGTCAATTCAATCCAACTTGAGACTTCTATGTACCTTAGTTTGATTTGGCATAGTGAGAGATATACACAATCACGCATATATTACAATAATAACAGCCAAATTCTTGCTAAATCTTACAATAGTTTGTGCTGATGTCAGCAAAAGCCATCTAAAAACTGTTTGCAAGAGCAACTCGAGATAGTAAATAACAGGTAGAAACCATATCAATATCTAGTTTCCAATAAATATTAAAAGACACGATAAAAGACTCCTCAACCTACCATTTATAATAGTTTGAGAAAAATAATAAGAGGGAAAATGGTATTATTGTTGTATAGAAGGCCTAATTTTGGATAAAACATGGTTATTATGTATAAAATCTGAAGTATCTAGATACCACACGAATAACCATGCTGAGATGCACAATTAACAATTCTAGGATACAAGGGTAAAATATTTGCCGTTATTCTGAAAGGCTTAGTGAGGATTGAAGTTAATTTTCTCCATTGTACTTAAGAACCAAGTATATAACTAGAATAACTAATTTCAAGTACCTCTAGTCAAATGCATAAGGATCATCTGCATATGGATTCAGTGACCCTTCTGAAAACAGATCGCCAATGTTTGAAGGATTTGAACGACCTGCTCCCTTAATTTCCTGCATAAGGAACATGCACTCAGAATTTCAAAGCTGCAGAATTAGGCAAGCATGTTAGCCAAACAATCAACAGATGCTTCTATAATGTCCCACTTACCAATACCTTATAGTTTGCTTTATTTATTCTGTTAGCCCCTTTTTTCTTCTTCCTCAAAAAATCCTACTCTCTATATTCACGCTTTCCAAGTTGACTATTTTATATATATAACTTGCATCATTCTGATATAAAGTGGCATCTTATGATGCAAAAAATCCATTTATAACCATCTAATGATGTATAACTAGGGGTGGCCAAAATCCGGTTTTTGGAACCAGAACCGTTGGTTCCGAACTGATGGGAACCGGAACCGGAATCGGTTCGAACCGGTTCGGTTCCGGTTCCACCAATTTTGGAACTGTGAGCCGGCGGTTCCCAAAATCAGTCGGAACCAATGTTGCAGTTCCAGTTGGAACCGGTCGAAAACCGTCCGGAACCGGTTGGAAAATCGGTTGGAACCGTTAGTTTTGGAACTATTGAGGAACCAAAACCGGAACCGAAACTGTTCGGTTCCAAACCATAACCGGAATGGTTAATTTCCGGTTCGGTTCCGGTTCTAAATTTCCAATTCTAAAAAATTTAGAACCGGAACCAGCGGTTCCGGAACCGTGGCCACGTTTATGTACAACTGCTTGTATTCCATATCATTTTGAGAGCAATCAGCATTTCCTAAGTATGAAAGATCATATACTAGGAAACTTTATGGATGGATGGAAATGCTTCCTCCAACCAGCAATATTCATGCCTTTAGAAGCAACTTAAATGAAAAAAAGGGAAATAATTGACAAAAATGTACTTTTGTAGGCTGTAAGTAATGATATGTGGGCGCTAGATAGTAATAATTCTACTGATTCATCAAATAATAGTTCAAGAATTGTTTTTTTTTTTTTAATTATTTTTTTGGAGAATGTTAGTTCAGCCAATTTCGTAAAAAATTTGTTGTGCCAACTGGAGAGTGAAAAGCAAAGTGCAAGGAGTTATGCTAAAAAAACCAGGGTGCCAAATGCTTCTGAAGGAGTTAAACTATGCATCAATAAAACCAAAATGAATAAATTACCAATTTAGGAAGTAGAAAAGAGTCTAGCTTTGTATTACCTTAACAACACTTCTTGGAGTTCTGGTCCTTGGTGTATTCATCTTCTTATGTTTCCTCGGGTCCTGATGTGCATGGAAAAAGAAATCTGGAATTAGAAGCGGTAAGCTGTAAAAGTAAAGGTCCTTCAATAGTACAAAACAGACTGTTTTATGCAGGAACTTCACATATTATGTACATGTAGGGTCAGTAGGGCTGCTAGAGTGCATACCTCAAACATGACTGTACTTTTTGTCTTTTTTCGTTTTGTAATTGTTCTTCCATTAGTAGTTTCAACTTCATATTCATGGTGAGTTACCTAGCATGCCATAAAGTCAAATGAGAGGCAAGGTATAAATAACAATATAATGCAGGATACCCCAAAATTTTTTTCGACTTATACTTTGCTTTGCATTGATATTATGATCAGAGCGGATATTTGAAACAAAGGATTAATATAGCTGACCCAACTAGTTTGGGATTAAGACTTAGCTGTTGTTATTTTAGCATGGTGAGTTACCTAGCATGCCATAAAGTCAAATGAGAGGCAAGGTATAAATAACAATATACTGCAGGATACCCCAAAATTTTTTTCGACTTATACTTTGCTTTGCATTGATATTATTTTGATCAGAGCGGATATTTGAAACAAAAGATTCATATAGCTGACCCAACTAGTATGGGATTAAGACTTAGCTGTTGTTATTTTAGCTTACCCCAAAAGATGATGATAAAAAGAAAAAAGAAAAATTAGTCAACGAAAATTCCAAGTAAACATAAAGTGTTTCACCTTCTTGTGATGCTTAGGAATGCTCCTTACACTTCCTGTGTTAGCATTCTCTGCTCTCTTCAATATTTTTGACACTGGTGTTTGTGTTTCCTCCAGGAAAGGCAAATCCTAAAAAGCACCAAGAAAAAAAGGAACTTTGCTAGTGTTTCAATTATTATAAAAATACAGGCAAAATGATTATTGATCTTTGTCACCTTTACTATGTTCTCCAACCTTACCGGCACACGTTGACTTCTTTTTCCACCACCAGGGTCTATCATCTTGATTGACGAAATGGAGTAATTCTGAGCATGATGGAAATTAAAATACATTAATAGTTTTTTTTTTTTTTTTCAAAAAATAAACCCATCTTCTCAGATTGAAAGAAAATTTTATATGATATGCTTATCCACTGGACATATAGACCTTGAGCAGTATTTTATGCCCCTTACAAGATAAATTTAGCAGATAATGCAGCAGAACAACTGAACAGTGATTCATGGTCAAAAAACAAACTTATATGCATAGAAAAAATTTCTTCGTGAAAGCACATGAATAGCACTCTGTGTCAACACTTCAAGACAGAGAAGCTCAGGCCTCCACATATTTACTCAACACTTGTCCGATATTTGCACATTTTTATTGACATACGGGGCATCAGTGGGACTTTTAAAGTGACACAAGTTCGCATATTTATATCCCCCACTTGTGTTTATGTGTGTAAGAGAAAGGGAAGGAGGGAGAGATAAATATTTGAAACGGGCAAGCCAACCTTTTTTGAAGTCACTTCCTGGTCATCTTGTGGCTTATCACTCATCACTTTCCACTGCAACTGCAGCAAGGCCTTTTGCCTTTCTTCCTGCAAGCTACTATGATCAAACTAAACCCAAGGCTCAGATAATGCAATTTGACATAGCACTTGACAGAAACTCATGCCTTGGATTTCTGAAGATCCAATTCTTCTTGCAGCCTCCTGCACTCATCTTCATTCTGACACCTCTGAGCTTTCATCTGAACTTCATGTTCATTTCTGAGTTGCATTGTTTTCTGTGCAAAATTTGAGAAAATATGGCAATTGAATCCATTAACTGCATGTTTACAGAATTTTAATATATTATATACCTCTCTCAATTCATTTTCAGCTTGAAGTTGGGCACGCTTTAGCTCTTCAATATGATCAGCTTTCAAACTCATTTCCTTCCTATCGTGCTCCTGCTTGATGCGCAAGACCTGCACAAGCAGGATGACAATTAACCAGCCATGAGACTGATGAAACAAGATTATCAAGTCTGTGACAAAAGAAGTAGATCAACACTGTAACTTTCATATAAAGATTAAATTGCGGTAAGAAGTGGGCAAAAAATCACTCCAAAAATCAGTAGTTGCCAACAATAATCTAAGAAGCCATAACATAAATAGTAGCACACTGTGACATCCCAACCCGGCAAAGCGATCCTAAGGATGGCAAGCTAGCTAGGGTAGTGGAATGCGGGACACAGGAATGAATCGAATCACATATCAAAAAAGGGGAAACTAATCATTAGAGGCGCCTTTGGGTGGAATAGCTGAGAGTTGGAAGAACTCCAAGGTTAAGTGTGCTCGCTTAACGGAAATCCTAGGATGGGTGACCTCCTGGGAAGTTTCCCATTTCACCTGCGGGGCTCGCCTTAACGGAAATCCTTAGGATGGTGACCTCCTGGGAAGTTTCCCATTTCACCTGCGGAACAAAACCTGGAACTCCAAGGTTAAGTGTGCTCGCTTAACGGAAATCCTAGGATGGGTGACCTCCTGGGAAGTTTCCCATTTCACCTGCGGGACAAAACCGTGAGGGCTGGTGTATGTATTGGCCGGATTAGGCCAGGGCACAACCCCGTGGCTAAAGTGGACAATTCCTCTGGTGATTAGAGTCGGGGTGTGACATTATTCTTAACTTTCAAACACTAATTAATTTCATGCCTTCTCAGGAAATGCAAACAAGTATATGATATTAGTTAGTTAACAGTCTTCGAGACTAATGGTGACATGAAGATATAAAATGCGTCATGGAAGCACTAATGCGACTTTGTGAACCTACAAAAAGGTTCCCAGAGCAGATAGAATATTTGTCTTCTTTCTGTATTATTTTAAGATAGAACACTCTTCATTTAAAGCAGCAAAGAACAATGAAAACTAAGTTTGCAATGATGTCAGAGGTGCTTACCAGAGCAGCATGCTCCTCCTGAATGCACACCAACTGCTGCCTTGACTCTTCCTTGCATTCTGCAAGTTTCTGATCACATTTTCTTTCCGTTTCCAGCACAATTTGGTCTGCCTGGAAGGTCCAACCTATGAGGAACACGATTCACAGCTAAGCTTATCAGAACAGGCATTAAGTATGGGCAAACCTTCTCTTTTTCCATTTTAATGATCTCTAGCTTCTCGAACTCATATTTCTTCCTGATGTCATTAACTGCCTGTAGAAAGTGATTTGTGTTAATATGAAAATGCATGTCATTTGAGAATTCATATAAGGTAAATGATAAATGGTAACACCTGATCATTCCTCTGAGATATTTCTTTCAAATGCCTTGACAGTTCCAGTTGTTTGCACTCTAGCATCAAATCATATTGACTCTTTGCTTCAGCAAGCTTGCTTTCAGCAGCCGACAAAGATGCCTGACTCTGCAACAATTTACAGAAACTCATTAGTACTAGAAAGATGTCAAAATCCCCACGTAGTTAAATAATCCATTAGAAAACCTCAGTGATTTGATCTTCCAACTTCTTTACTCCATCCTTGTATTGCAGAAGTAGTTGCTCCTTCTCCTCTAAGATGCTATGTAGCTGAGCAACTTGCTTCTCCAGTGAATCTACATGTTGCTCTTGTTTCTCACTCTGCTTTTGCCAAGTACCTACATCTTCTGCTTTCTTCCTTACTTCTGCATTTAATTTCTCAGCAATATCTTTGTTTTCTATTTCCAATGTTGAAATTTTCAATAACAAATCTTGCTGCATGAAAGAAAAAAATTGGGTAAGAATATGAACAAATCATGCTCGGACTTAGCTCACAGGAACAAAAACAACTAGTGCAGACCATTTTATTCTCAGATGACCTAGAACTTTCTGATAAAGCTTCAATTGTCTCCTCAAATTCGGAAACCAACATCTCTGTTTCATTTTTCTCGGACAGCAGTGTTTTAGCTTCAGACTCTAATCTTTGAATTCTCTCTCCTGCTAAACGGCATTCCTCAGAAAGTTGTGCCATAATATGCTCTTGGGCTTTCTGAAGTTCAATGATCTTATCGTTCAACTCCTGGTTAACCAATAGCAGTGCATCTTTTTCTGACTTAACGCACAAGAACTTATCATGCAGCCGATCATACCGTTTTTTAGCATGCTTAGCAGAAAGGTCTCTCTCCTGTTGGACCAACTTAAAGCAAGTGTCACATAGAGAGTTTAGCTGATCAAACTTCTTGATGAAAGAAAATTCTTGTTTGTCCAGTTCAACCAATTGTTCAGCCAATATATGAAAAAAACCTTGCAAATTTTTTATATCCTGAAGTGAGACAGCCAATTTAGTAGCAAAGTCATTTCTGCTAAATTGGAGGTCACTCTTTTCTTTCTCCAAGTTGTCCTGAGTAATAATCAAATGTTTGATTTCATCTTTCTTCTGTCCCAACTCAAGGTGCATTTCTTCTAGTTTAGAATTCAAGCTCTCTGTTGTCAATTTATTAGCTGCCACTGCTGCCTCAAATTGCTTTAGCATAGCATCTGCATAATAAATATGTAAATAAATAATCCAGAAAATACTGCTATAATTCCTAGAAATGAAAATCAATCAAATAACTTAACAGTGAGACACTGTTTTTAGAAGAGCAGCAATTGACATAAGCCTGATGGATTGTGCCTTAGCCCTTTAACCAACATAATCAACTCGATAATAGTTCGTATACTCTCTCTAACTGAAATGTCTATTTCATAAAAAATTGTCTTGGTAAGCATTTCCTTTGGCCGTCCTACAAATTTTATGAAAGATAAAGTTCCAGGAAATTATTGTGACATGTATAAATCATAAATCAAGAGCTTACTGATGCCAAAGGCCTGAAGATGTTATTCCAGTGTTTTATCCTTTATTTTTTATTTTCTTTTTTTTGTTTCCTTCTTTCTAACTATCAGGCTAGATGGAATCTGCAATACTTGGAACAGAAAGCTCAAATACTAGTACCACTCAAGTGACCTCAGAAAGTGGGTCAATATACCTCCAGGGGAAGCAAATATTGCAAGTAAATAGGTAGCAAATGTGACCCACATGCCAACAAACTAATACATTATAAATAGGACATAAGTCAAGAAAAGTGAAGACGGGTTGCCACTGCTCAAAACTGAGAATTTCTGGAGAGATGGGATTCAGAAGAAATGAACTAAACTTGGTGTTGAAGGTTAATAAGCACTGGCAATTAAATTATAAAACCCGCTAAGAAAGCATTATGCCAAACTGAAACCTAAGTTACTTCAAAGTGAAAAGATAGACATGCTTGTGCAGAAATGAGGGCAATATCTGAAATGCATTTTTTTTAAGCAATAGGATAAAATTAGATAAACAAAGAACAACAATAATTCATATTCAGTTTAAGCCAGAAATAGTAACTCCCACATTTTATGTTAAATTAATAACAAATAACGACACTAGTCCATATTCTATTTAAGTGACTCAACCAAATGACAACATCTTGTCCATGTCATGCTTAATGATGATGATGGTTTTCTAATTTTTTACGAGTGGCTAGCATCCACAAACATAAATGATAATATAGGTTACATGGCCAACATGAAGCCTCTTTTTCATTTGAAAGCATAGATTGAAACATATCATATGCGATCGAAGTTTATTAGAAGTTCTTTTGGGGGCTGAAATTACTATTAATAAAGTTCTTAGGCACAGTATAATCTACTAATCTACTAATGAGCAAGCTGAATATTTAGCTTTCTGATAGTGTCATTTACCTTTTTCATCTATGAGGTAAGCAATTCTGTGCTGTTCCTCTGTGTAGATCTTATTTCTTTCCTCTTTTTCAATTTTAAGCTCTTCCAGTTCCTGCTCATCTGCATTCAAAATTCAAATACATTAACAGATGGCTAATACAAATCCCATACAAACACAATCCTGTGTCTCTTTCTCTCTCATCACTCTCTCATTTTTTTTTTCCCTTACAAACAATCTTGTGACACTCGCTAGTAATTTAATACTCAGATCTTGTTTTTTAATCGTAGAGAAAGCTCACTTCAGAAATTGAATAGCATTTTGCAGAAAGCAAACACAAATGGCTTACGAGTTCTAATGGTTTCCTCTGCAGAGTCTAACTTCAGAGACAATCCATTCAGCCGTTGGTTCAAATCATCAATGGCAGTTGAGCTTGCTGATAGTTTGCTTTCAAAAAACTCCTTATCTTTTTCAGCTGTGCGAATAATTTTTAAGCACTTATAACTGTCAATTGTGAGTAGAATATATAATTTCGATACCACAACTGAAAATATTACATACCATCATGAACCTGACAAGCTAAGAGCTGTAAAGTTTCAGTCAGTTGATCACACAGAGTCTTAGTTGAAGAGAACTTGGATTCCAATCCTTTCCATAGCTTCTCATCCTCCTTTTGCTTTACTTTAAGCTTAGCATTTTCATTTAAGGCATTTTGCAACTTTTCCTCTAACGCACTAATAAGCTCCATCGATTTCTTCAGCTTCGAGTTCTAAACTAATCAAAAAAATTTCAATCAAATCACCATTCAATTTTATGCTATTAATAAATTCTGGTACCTTCTCCCTAAAAACGGAAGTCCTAAATATCATGGAAATTATTACAAAACAATTCAACCTAATGCTCATGAAGTAGCACAGATTAAAAGAAGATGGAGACAGAATAATGTTTTTTTTTTTTCATTGCTTCAGGACGCATCAATTACTAAATGTTTATACATACACAATGACTAGGAGATACTATATACAGAGTATACACCAGATATAAACAATAACTATATAAACACAAACAATCTTTCAAACATGATCAATAAGCATATTTCGCCAACAGGCACGTACATTCTTGTATTGAGAATGAGAGAGATAGAGAGAGTCATTCATGTTACCGCTATTTCCAGGTCAGTTTTAACGGAAGCTTGGTCTTTGATCAACTTTTCTGCAAACAAATGGATCAACGATATTAGTTGGTTTGAGAGTTCAAATTTCACTGAGAATAAGTAACTTAAAATCGTCGAAGAAAACCTGCAGTGAGCTTCAAATTGACGAAACTCCCTGATGAAATGGAGTCCGAAGATGGCCGTGAAGAAAATGAAAGGTTTTTCGCTGATCCCGATATGGATCCTGATAGCGATTTGAACTGATCGAAGCTCTTCATGATTGGAAACCCTAACTTTTGCATCTTGAAATTGAAGATCGAGATGAAAAACCTAGAAAATTTCTGCTTGAAAGTTGAATATCCTTGTCTCCTCGCACTCAATCGAGCTCTCTTTCTCTCGAGCGTTCAAGTTTCCAAGCAAGCAGTGGAAATAATTTAGGCGCCAAAAGATGTGGTATTTATAGAGGATGGAATTCTTTTGAAATTAATTCGCAGTAAAAAATTATTCGACGTCGTATTATGTTTACCATTTGCGCTAAAGACAGTACGCATCGTTTTGCTGCCGCTACTTGGTGGTGGACGTTTTGGCTCTTTCCAATCTCATGGTATGCACAGCCACGCACGTGACTAAGGGGGGCCTGGTCGTGCCAGATTCAAGCTGGGAACCATTTGAAACTGGACCAAATTAATTTCTGGTTCAAAACCAGATTTATCGGTGAATATAATGAAAATTTTAACTCACAGTTTCTTCTTACTTGTGAACAATTCATTTTAGTATTATAAAAAAATTCTTATTCTGATATTAACAGTATGAAAATAACGCTATTTTTATTTATTATTATAAATTAAAAATATTAAAATAAATATTTCAAAACATAACTTAGTGATAAATGCATATACAAATCGATAATTAATGCTATTTAAATAATTTTTTTACCTTCTAATTATATAAAATAAACGATTCGTTTAATATAAATAACTTCACTGGAAAAAGAAGTGAATCTATCTATCTTTCTAGAATATAGAAAAACATAAGGAAATATTCTTTGACAATTTTTTAGTCAAACAACATTTTAAAAAAATTATCATATCATAAATGATAATTTCTTTCTATTTACTAATTTTTTATAATATTTAAGCATGCATAAATCATATATACTTGTATGCGTATTTAATTAGATTAAAAAAAGCATAAATACATAAAAAATTCATATATATTTTTATGTAAATAAAATTGTGGCACTTTTAATTTTTAGTTTGATCCATTAAATATTTTAACTTGAAAAATTACATCTATAAAATATTTCAATTTGTAAAAATTTTTTTATTGAATATTCCACATTGAATATTTTAAAAATGTTAAAATTTATTGTTTCAAAAGTTATAATAATCACACGTTAAATTATATTTTACATGTAAAATTAAAAAAATAACAAAAATAACTATTATTACCAATATGAAAAGATCTATAATGTTACTAAAATAAATAAATTTTAAAAATACAATAGATCTCTGTAAAATTTGAGGATTCTATAAATTTCTTTTTTTTATAAAGCACGTAAATAAATTTATATATTTCACCATTGAAAATGTGAATCTAATACAATCTCAAACTTAATCCACGCATTAAAATCAATAAAGAATAAATAATCAAAATTAATAAATTCTCATAAACCATATAAATGTATATTTTTCAATGGCATAAACAATTATGTCCAAAGCTCTTATCATTATATCTATACTTAAAATTATTGACACCATATTTACATTTTTTATAAAAAGTAAGGTAAGAATAAGAGGATAAAAAAAATTTATTTAAAGCGGAGTTAATTTAATGGACATCAATTGGAGAAAATCAAGGAATAAATAGGTTAATCATGATTAAAGTGTGCAATATGTACTATTTCAGAAGTGGATGCTCCACACGATCTTCCAAGAGAAGTTATTAAAAAAAAGAAGCAGATACAGAAAAGGCAAAAAATGACAGAACACAATAAATGAATCCTCAACCAACACCATGTTTGGAAGAAGAGAAAATAAATTTAGAGAGGTAAAAAGATATTGAAGGAAAATAAAGAGGGAAAAATATAAAAAAGATTTCCTCTTAACGTTTGGATGGGTGAGAAGAAAACAATGAGGAAAAGTAATTTTATAAATATTGGAATTATAAATTTGTTCATTTACTTTTTATTGATGAAAGTATAAAAAAAATAAGCATATTATTGAAGAGAAAATGGTACGTGGGAGCCCAAAAAATTATTTTCCTTTATATATATTTTTTTTCTTTTCTTCCTTTCCAAACAAGTGAAGGAAGAAATTTTTTTTTTTTATTTATTTTTTTACAATTTTCATTCCTTTCATATTTTCCATCAATTCAAATAAAAGCAGCAAAATTTTATAATCTTAAATTTAATTGAAATTAAAAGAACAAATTCCACAAGAAAAGTACAAATTAACGGAATTATTATTCATCTATCATCATTATTTTCTTTGTACTTTTCATTTTTAATTATATTTATGTATATACTTTCAAATATATAATTCTATTTCATGATAAACTATTATATTTATATTAAAAATTTTAAATAATGAACTAATATAAATTTTATTTTATCTTTCAAAAAAATATAAATTTTATTTTAAGAAAACAAAATAAATGTAATTATTAACAAATAAAATATTCGTTATTTTTTTAAATTGCAAAAACACCCTCTTATTACGGAGTCAATGCCATTAAATAGGGGGATCATATTCATGGTACGCAGTGGTTTGTGCAGCGAATCAAAACTCAAGGGGGAAAAAAGATAAAGAAAATAAAATAAAAAGGAAATAAGCAAAACTTAAAAAAAAAAAAAAAAAAAAAAAAAAAAAAAAAAACGAATCAAACTCAAGGGGGAAAAAAGATAAAGAAAATTAAAATAAAAAAAGGAAATATGCAAAACTTAAAAAAAAAAAAAAAAAAAAAAAAAAAAAAAAAAAAAAAAAAAAAAAAAAAAAAAAGAAATTGGAAAACAATATCAACAAACAAAACCGAATCAATTCACTCGAAGACGGGATTTCTACTTGGTGCGGCGATGGAAGCAAAGCCAGAGCCAAAGCCGAATACACCGTTACCATTTCCCTTCTCTTTCTCTTGTTATCGGTTTTCTTTGTATTCCTCTCCATTTTTGTTCGAATTTCACTTTTCTAAAATTCCAATCTCATTAAACATTTAAAATCTCCCGAAAGGCTTCAATTCCCTTGTTTCATTATGCCAGGGTTTGAACTTTGGTCGAGGAATTTACTCTCCAATGACCCATCTCAGAGTAGTTCTACCTCATTCATTTATGGTGGCATATTTCTCGAGCCCACCATTTCCATTTCTTCTTCTTTTGTTAGTCTTATTTCTTCGAGAAATAGTTCAATTAGCGTTTCGAATTTGGTTTCTTGTTCTGAACATAAGATTTTTAGGGGATTTTGGAGAGAAAGGAGTAGCAGCAGTCAAGTGGCAGTCAGTGGTTTGTTCTTGTCGGTGAGCTTGAGAAACGATGGGCATCAGCTCGTGGAGGAAAAGATCTGTTTGGTGCAAAATGGAGATGCCAAGAGCGCCATTGAGGAGGAGAAGGTGCTTGATGGAGGTAATGCGGTTCGGGAAGAAAGAAGGAAACGGAAGGTTACCATAGGAGGAAGTAAAGCAATGAATACCACTAAACATTTATGGGCTGGAGCTATTGCAGCTATGGTTTCAAGGTCCGTGTTCTTTGTTTTTATTGGTCTTCAGTTTATTGGGCTTCGCTATTGCTTTCATTTTCCTTCCTGTTCTTTTTATTTTCTTATATGCAGTTCCTGGAGCTGGAATCGTGATCTTTTTCTTTTTTTCTTAGGTTATTGCAAAGTTGGATTTGTTTACTTAACGTTTATGCTCCTATCTTTTGGATATGAAAATGAGACCACAACAATGAAAACAAAGGGGTATCTTTTTCATAGGCATGTTTGATTTGCCTTGAAAATGGAATGAATTTGTAGTTATGTTTTCTAGAATCTTATTTTCATGTCATGTTTGAAATGACCAGACAGAATTTAATCTTAACAATCATACATGCAAATTTAATTCCATTTGCATTTAATTTGAGTTGTTCAAATATAAAATATCCTAAAAGAAAAAAAAGAAAATTGGATTCTTTGTGAATGAAACAAGAAAATGGAATCTTATGCCAAAAATTGCATTCCTCTTTACTTTTCAAAGCAAACGAAATGTGGACTGGTTTCACTTCCAACATTATTTTAATCAGTTACGAGTTATAAAATGCATTTTCTTTTCTGCATTTTGATACAACAATGACAACTATACACTGTTTGTTTATCACCGTGGTGTAAATTATAGTAGGACAATGAGTTCCATATTGTTTTATATTGCCTTCCTTGTTTATAAGTTAAAAGTTGTTGTACCAGAACTTTTGTTGCCCCACTCGAGAGATTAAAGCTGGAATACATGGTTCGTGGTGAGCAAAAGCATATAATTGACCTCATTAAAACAATTGCTACTACTCAAGGTGTGAAAGGCTTTTGGAAGGGTAACCTTGTCAACATTCTCCGAACTGCTCCATTTAAAGCTGTCAATTTCTGTGCATATGATACGTATAGGAAACAGCTGCTCAGATTCTCTGGGAATGAGGAAACCACAAATTTTGAGAGGTTCATTGCTGGTGCCGCCGCTGGCATTACTGCGACCATTCTCTGTTTACCACTTGACACTGTATGTTAAAACTTCAGATTTTGCTCCTTATATTATTTCTGTGCGCTTGAACATGCTCTTTATTGTATGAATAATACTATAATGCACTCTTGTGCTCTGCAACATGATCTACTGACAACTTGATTATACATCATAGTCGTTTGTAATCTGCTGCTTATATTATAGATGCTAGATGGAATCGGTATTTGGTTGTCTATAGTTCTGAATAATTTTGCATTTCAAACTGTTTGTGAGAGTGAGCAAACTTATTTTCTACTTATTTTTCTCTTGTATTAAAGACAGTTCTGTATGCATGTAGGACATAATATGGTGTGCAAATATCTATAAAGCAAATATATCATCTGTGCCTTTGCAACAGGGTATAATGAATCAGGATGCTGTACATGTTTTAATTTTTTTGACTTGCTAATTTATTTGTGTGGATTTCAGGAACTCATTACATTCTAATATCTTTAGATGTAAGTACTTACATGGCTTGATGTCTTAAATGAACACAACTACAATGGGAAATCACAATGATCTGTATATTATGGATTATGTGACTGAACAGTTAGATTTTATTGGGTTGTGTGGACCTTTAACAGTATACAGCAGATTGCGTGCTTGTTAAAGTATCCTATCGATTGGTTTGTTGTATGTTCCATATATTATATCATAAGCTTAAGTTAAATTTTACATTTTCTGCTAAGTATTTGTGCTTTGAATTGGAAATTTTTTTTATACTATGGGTTATGTTTTTGGAAAAGGTACAATAAATAATATTAAAACCAATTATTTTGGCGTTGTAAAAAGAATATTTCCCAATATATCACAATTTGGAAATGGTGTTCCAATGCATAAAGAAAACCCATGTAATTAAACATTTTCATTAAACTTTTATTTTTAACTGAAGCAGTCGTTTTGGTTCAGTATCACACCAGAAAGCAGTAATTTTGGCCCTAAGCATGATATAGTAGCCAGGATCCATGTGCCACCCCTAACTGGTTTGGAAACTTGGCTTAATTGATTTATCTAGAAGTTAATTGGAGGTGCATTTGGGGAATCAGCTGGTTCAGAGTATTTTTTACTCCGTGCATTGATTTTGCCCGTGTTTATTCCTGAATTGTTGATCACAATTCTATTGATGTATCTTTCAGATCCGGACCAAGATTGTTGCACCTGGTGGGGAGGCATTGGGTGGGGTTATTGGTGCTTTTCACCACATGATTGGAACTGAAGGTTTCTTTTCCCTTTACAAGGGCTTGGTGCCTTCTATAATAAGCATGGCACCTTCTGGGGCGGTTTTCTATGGTGTGTACGATATATTGAAGACTGCTTATCTGCGTTCGCCTGATGGCAGGAAAAGAATAGAGAATATGAATCAACATGGACAGGAATTGAGTGCTTTGGACCAGCTAGAACTGGGACCAATCAGGACATTGCTATATGGAGCAATTGCTGGCGCTTGTGCAGAGGCTGCTACTTACCCATTTGAAGTTGTAAGGAGACAACTTCAACTGCAAGTTCGGGCTACTAAGATGAGTGCACTGGCAACCTTTGTCAAGATTGTTGAGCAAGGTGGAATTCCTGCTCTGTATGCAGGACTCATTCCCAGTTTACTGCAGGTATTTACACATGAAATCTCAAACATATAATGAACTTGCTTTTGATGTGTTAAATGGGAGCTTTCAGATTGCAAGACTTTGTTGAGCATTGTTTATGAATCTAATTGATTGTTTTGGGGTTAGTTCGAGTGGCTAGGAAGTGGGAGTTTGAATACAGATCATAGGTTTAAGCTGTAGTACTCTTCTTTTGTTCCCAACCACCAAAAAAAAATAAAATAAAATAAAAAAGGATTTGAAACTTCCGTAGCTACATACATCAACGCAATTCTACAGATGCTTGGCTGAGATACTCTGCATATTTAACTCATCTGTCATATTGTATCAAGTATTATTGTTGGAATGCTATTCATTAAGCTTCTGCCATATATGCAGCTTTTTCCTCTGGAGGCAAGAGCTGTGAACCCCTTACAGGAACTAATGTTCAAATTATCTGGAATTTTGATGCTTAGCTGTCAATATTAGTTCCATTTTGAAGTTTACAAAGGTTTTGCATGTTCAGTGGCAAAAACAGAAAATATTTAGGGGGTTAAAAAATTTCAAATTAAGGGGGGTGGGGGGGTGGGGGGGAATTGGAAAAAAAATTACTATTTTATAGATAAAATGTAAAATTTTTTATATTTTTTAAGGTAAATTTTAGAAAAATTTTAAAACTAGGAGGGTGGAGGCCACTGGCCCAATGCTGGCCACCCCCTAGTTTTGTCATTCTGCATATTCCTTCCAGAATTTTGGATATAAGGTTCCACAATCACTTTTCTGACGGGTTGATATTTGCATCTTCAGGTACTTCCTTCAGCATCAGTAAGTTACTTCGTCTACGAGTGTATGAAGATTGTCCTCAAAGTAGAATGAATATTGATTATGAATCCTTTAGAAAATAACCAGTAGGATGCTGTACAGTGGCCCAAAGGTGAGCAAAGGACATAAATCAAAATGGTGGAATCTCATTTACACTAAAATTATCATTGATTTTGTCAACATATTCTTGTATTTTAAACTGAGGAAATAAAGTACCTTTCTCAAAAATCTACGATCTCCTTTGCTATAATTTTCATTTTCTGCGGAACTCCAAGAATGGGTTGTCGTATAATTTATTATGTATGACACTCGTATGTATTTTTGTATAGCATATAGTCGTTATTGAATTGGGCCCTCAACCCACAGGATGAATAATCTCTACAGCATTAGGCTTACTACCGGGGATTCTAAATTGACCCAATTCTTAGTACTATTTACTAGTTAGGTCTAGAAAGACTGGTCATAACAGTAATTGACTTAAAAATTTTAAATAATATATTTTATTATTAAATAATCGTTTTACTAGTTAAAAGAGACCGCATATTTTGGTTGGAGGACCTATTTTGTTAACAAAAACAAATGTAAAATACATAGGTGAAATCCATACTTTACGCGTTTGAACATGTGATACCTTCAAGTTATTGTCTCCGAACTTGTATATTTACATAGCAACTTTGCACCTGGCTACGCTGGAATGAGGGAGCGTGTATTTCAGCGAGAGCGTGTTTACACGCGAAAAAGAAAGAGGGTGAGGAACGAAAAAAATTCAAAGTGAGTAATAAAAGTACTACTACTATTGACCGGTAGGTTTTAAAAACATAATCGGAACCGTGAAGACATACTGAGAGTCTAAGAGAGAGTTCTCCTGAAAGTCTAAGAACGATTTATTCCTGAGAGTCTAAGAGAGAGTTATCCATTGGGGATTGAATAGCAGATGGCGCAAAAAAAAAAAAAAAAAAAAAAAAAGGTGTTTAGCACCGAAAAAAAGAAAAGAGGGGTGAGGAACGAAAAAAATTCAAAGTGAGTAATAAAAGTACTACTACTATGACCGTAGGTTTTAAAAACATAAGCGAAACCGTGAAGAACATATACTGAGAGTCTAAGAGAGAGTTCTCCTGAAAGTCTAAAGAACGATTTTATTCCTGAGAGTCTAAAAGAGAGAGTTTATCCATGGGATTGAAATAGCAGATGGCGGCAAAAAAAAAAAAAAAAAAAAAAAAAAGGAAAGAAAGAAAATTGCACTTTATTGTAAATAAAATAAGGACAAGTTTACTATTTAGTCACTCGTCTTTTATAACGAATTAATAGCATCAATGAAGGACCATATTTTTAAAGAAAATTAACTAATTAACCTCAATTATTTATAACTACTCTCTATTGATTACAAATGCATATCCAAACTCAATTTTCCAATTTTATTTTCTTATTTCACTCTAAACTAAGAAAAAAATTATAAATTTAAAAGAAATCATCTCTCTCAATATAAGTCATAAGAACTGACTTAGATATAATGATAATTAGTGAGTCATATTAAAAAAAAAAAAAAAAAAAAAAAAAAAAGGGAAAGAAAGAAAATTGCACTTTATTGTAAATAAAATAAGGGACAAGTTACTATTTAGTCTCGTCTTTTATAACGAATTAATACATCAATGAGGACTCATATTTTTAAAAAATTAACTAATTAACCCTCAATTATTTAAACTACTCTCTATTATTACAAATGCATATCCAAACTCAATTTTCAATTTTATTTTCTTATTTCACTCTAACTAAGAAAAAAATTATAAATTTAAAAATCATCTCTCTCAATATAAGTCATAAGACTGACTAGATTATATATAATTAGTGATCAATTATCTTCTTAATTGAAATTGCTTAAGTCAAAACGATGCTAATTAAAAGTTAAACTATATAAGTAAACCTCTTTAATAGCATGTTCTTTCCTTTTCAACAATAGAGCATTTAACAATTGGGTAAGAGGAGTGTAATCATGTAACATGGTACAAATAAACTAGTGAAATAGGAGCATATAAGTAAATACAGATCACATAAGTTTATATTGATTCGTTTTCAAGCTATTAAGCAACGATTGTTCCATCTATTAAGAATGATGCCACCAGTATGTTTGAGATACTTAAATTTTTCAAAAGTCCATAGACATATAGAAAATAAAATTTTCAAAACTCTGTAGGCATGCAAAAGATAGCACCATAGATGACCAAAAAACAAAAAAAGGAAAGAAAAAAAAAAATCTAATCTCAAAATATATTTAATTATTATAGAAAATCCATTTTTCATTGATAACAAAAAGTAAAAAAAAAAAAAAAACATTAAGAATTAATATTGCAAATATAAATCTTCTACATCCGAACTCATAATTTTCTCAATTACAATTATAGAAATATATAAAAAAAGACATATAGATATTAATAGAAAAAAAAGACAGCGTTTAAGTTTTTATTAGATTAGGACTTCCCACGAGAGCGAAAGATAATTTTAAAAGGAAAAAAATTACTTTTATTGAATAAATTGACCAAATTTCTGTTGATTAACAGAAAAATTGATGTAACAGCTGCCCAACAATAATAAAATCGAGGGACCAATAAATTAATTTTAAAAACAGAAATCTTAATCTGAATAGAAGTTAATGTAGGCTAGTAGTATTAAGATAAATAATTATTTGGCCACTTATATTTGGTCATAGTTACAACATCATCCCCTTATTTACATTGATTAGTTTCAAAAATTTTAATAAAATTAACCTATTCAGTATCATTTGATTATATATAAATAATACTTTTAGATGAAATGATTAAATGATTTAATAGAATTATTTAAAAAGGAAGTTCAATAGAATTAAATTTCAAGAAGTAATCATTATATTATCGAATATAAATATAATGATTAAAAAAGTAATCATAGTTACAACTTTATCCCCTTATTTACATTGATTAGCTTAAAAAATTTTGATAAAATTAACCTATTCAATCTCATTTGATAATATATAAATAGTACTTTTAGAAGAAATGATTAAATGATTTAATGGAATTATTTAAAAAAGAAGTTCAATAGAATTAAATTTCAAGAATTAATCATTACATTGATCGAATAAAAGGATGAAATTGTAATTGTAATTGTAATTATAATTAAATTAGAAGCATTAAATGATAAGTTACCCATACTGGCATTCATTATCATTCCAAAAGAAGTCAGGCCAGACTTGAAAAAGTACCTTACACATGTGTGATTCTTACACTCGTGTTTCGATATATTCAAAGCCCATACTTCTTTTTTTCTCGATTTCCACAATTTTTTTCTTTCAAAACACAATTCCCACCAAGTTTTCTCTACGCCACGAATCCTTCTCCCATCTACACTTGGCGTCTTCTTTAAACAACCTTGCTTCTCAATCCATGTGGTCGCCGCCGTCTGGCGACGGGGCCGCCACCTGCTCTTCATGCTTTTCCGGAGACAATGCTGCCTTTCATGGTGACGAGAACAAATCCTGTCTTGGTGTTCGCTGTATGCAATGCTTGAAATCCGATTCTCCTTCTTGCTCTTCACGTTCTTCTTGGTTGGGGTTTGATTCGATTCCATCTGAGGATTCGGAGAAGTTATGGAGAATAATTACTGCTTCGGCTAAAGGATTCTCGATTGGTGCTGGACTTAAAGGAGGTCTCTCTCTGTTTTCAATTATTGCTAGGCTGCGTCGCACAAGATTATCCTCTTCCTCGAGGTGAAAAATTGACTTTTATGCTTAGATATATTTTCTTCAACTTTGGTTCCACTTCGTTAGTTTGGATCTTAACTTTGGCTTTCTCGTTGTAGGAAAGTTGCGTTTTCGAATAGTGAAGCTATTGCATTAGCTATCAAAGAAACGCTAAGATATGGTCTATTCATTGGGACTTTTGCTGGTACATTTGCTTCTGTTGATGAAATTATTGCTTCTGTTGGAGGCCACCGAAGGTAAGCAATTAATCGTTCTTCGTGCTCTTCAATTTTCCCCATTTTCCATTTCTTTAACTTTCAATTTGGTATTGCTTGTTCGGAATTAATTTTTGAATTTGAATTTAATCGGTCTAAGGCTAATTTCAGAACTGCGAAATGGAGAGCTTTATTAGCTGGATTGATTGCTGGGCCCTCCATGCTTCTTACAGGACCAAACACGCAGCATACAAGCTTGGCCATATACATACTTATGCGGGCTGCTGTTTTGGCGTCACGTTGCGGGGTTAAAAGCAAACGGTTTGGGAAATATTGTAAACCACTAACTTGGAAGCACGGTGACATATTTCTCATGTGTCTTTCTTCTTCCCAAATTTTGTATGCACCCTCTTTGCTCAACCGAATTAACAAGTTTTACTTATTGCACTTTATGAGTATATCATTGGAAAACTTCTGATATCTTATTAATTGTATTTTATTAAATTTCTTGTCTGATAAATAAAATCTGGCACTAGCATTATCTGATTGTACTCTGGGAAGCCATCCACGGGGGAAATGATGATTATAAATCTGTAGGCTGTCGTATGAATTGGATAGTAGACTTAATACATATGCAATGCAACTGTACAAGCCGCATAACAATCTACATTGTCGACGATTGCTGTTGGCTTAGATCTCAGTTGTGTTCAAGAATAATTCATTTGTATTGATAACGCTTAACTGTTTCAGCATAAAAGATTTTGAGACTTAAATAGCTTAAAATTCATATTCCTAATTGTTCAACCAAGTCATTCATCAAAACCTTGTTATATGCTGTTGCAACAACACAAAAATAAAGGTAGAATAGAAAACACTTTGTTTTTACCATGAGTTAGTTCAAAAGTTTTTTTGAAATTCAGTTACACCAGGTTCCACAGCTGCATCAAAATTTGATTGCTTTAGCCTTTGATTCTTTAACATAGTGCAAGTGTAATCTTTTCCCCATGTATTGTTTAACTAGAATCACACTCTTTCCAGGTCAGCTTACATATTAAAGCAAGAGAGTTTGCCTCCCTCATATAAGTCCTTTCTCAATAAACATGGTGGAAAGGATCTTGTTATCTTGCAAGGAGTGAAGGAGATTGCAAGTGGCTTGCCTTTTTCAAATTTAGATTTAATAGAGAAATATTACAACTCCACAGGTGTTGACATTAAACTAGATCCAGAAATGAAAATCCCCTGCTCGGTATGATCTCAGTTTTTTACATATTTTGTTTTAAGGTATTGTTAAACATTCTTGGTACATGGTGTTCTAGTTCCCTTTGTGTTATTTTTTCTGGTCGCCTTCCATAACTGGTGCTCCATATTTTATTGAAATATTTTAGGTATGTATGATTGTTTGTCATTTTCTAAAGTTAATTTTGTTAAATATATGCATTATGATATGTTCTGTTTCCTTACTCGTTCTGCTCAATCCACTTATTTTGGAGGTTTGTGAATGTGAAATTTCTGAGGTTTCCAATTCATAGTGATAGAATTTTAATTAGTGGATCTTCATGATTTTGGACCGTATGATAAATGAATATGAACATCACAGCTACGATAGATCATGCAGGTTGATGTCGGCCGTTGGGCCTGCTAGTACTTCTCAAGTTTGCATTTACATTTGGGCAATTTGTGGGCCAAAAAATGTAAAGTGTTTAATGTATAAAGACACATCATCAGTTATTTCTATACATAATGATGTAGATCAATGTGTAAGATCAAACTTAGGTAAAAAATAATTGCTAATGTCATGTTGCTTAAATTGTATGTATGATAATTACGTGTTTCTGCTGATTGTATTAAGGAGTTTCATGTATAAAGCTTACCATTGGTTGTTTCTGTACATAATGATATAGATAAATGTTCAAGATCAAACTCAGGTTGTTACAAAAATTAAAGCTCATTTTTTGTTGCTTAAATTGTGTATGACAATTTTAAGCTTTTGCCAATTGATTGTAATTACAACTCTGAATATTATGCAGATCATACATGGAAATCAATCATGCAGCAGTCATGTTATATCTTTTCTTCTTCAAGCGTATGCAAGAGCAGTCCCAGTATATCTTCCTGTATACTTGATACCTGCATTAATAGTTCATCGTCAAGGGCTCTCAAAAAGGTAAAACAGGCCATCATTCTGTTTATACTTGAAGGCATAGTATGTTTAACTGTCTGCTTGGAATTGCTTATGAATTTTTATTCAGAAAATTGGTGTTCAGATTAGATTTAGTGAAATGAGTGAATATGGTGTTTAGGAGGCTCCAGTTTCATTGTATGTCAAGCATTTCAAAAGGTATTTCATGAATAGAGATGGCCATATCAGAATAGCTTAAATTTTCAAAAGGCTTATATGACAATATCAGTTTTTGCATGTTTAGACAGAAATATATACGTAGCTTGGTAGCTGGGCTGGTGATATCATTTCTTACCCTGCACTTGTTTTAGTCCTTTCTTGCGTGCCCTTTTTGAGCTCTAGTTGCTTCTCATCAGGTAGTCCGACGAACAGGAATTTAGTTGAATGTGGTTGCTTTATTGCATTCTCAGCCTTCTTTTTTCATGGTGCTAGGTTTGTAATAACCATGTGCATCTTCCTAACAACTTGAGCTTTTATGACAAATTTTATTTTTGTCAGTAAACCATCGTTCCTTATCTCACTACTTATGGATGCCTCTTACAAATGATTGTCTTATATTGTTTGTCCTTTTGCAGGCCATACAGCATATTAGGGAAGAGTCTCCTTGGTATTGCAAGATCAAGTTTGTTTCTGTCTGTATATTGCTCGTCTGCTTGGTTAGTTATTTGATCCTTGAGCATATTAAATTTTGCCCTTAGCAATGAGCTTTGACTCAGTTATGCTAGGGTGCTGTAAGGTCACTTTTCTGAATCCCAATAATTGGAGCCTGGCAATGGAATCTAGTTCTTGTTTCCTTTCAAAAAGGTCTATTAGTTATCTTTCTCTAGCTCATGATGATTCCTTTTACCTTTGGTGAAATATCTCTCTTCTGGTGTGATATATGTTGTGTATTTTATGACTGTTAGGGTGCATTACAACACACATGCACTAACTTGATGCGCATATAAGAAATTAATGAAATTGTTTGCTGAGCGTACGACATGTGTGACAAAAGGCCCCTTTGTTGTTGATCAGGATGTGGACATGCATACTTTTTAGAATTTTTAGAAGATGCAACATTCCAATGGTGGCAATGGGGACGGTATAGTAACTTCAACTATTCATATATTCATTCGTGTAGAGAGAAACAATATATGCTTTATATTTTGAAATACTACTTGTGCCGTGCAGTTTCCCACTGGCCTAGCCCTAGCAATCGAGAAGAAAAGCAGGCGGATTGAGATATCACTATATTGCCTTGCACGAGCCATTGAGAGCTTCTTTACATGTATGGCTGACGTTGGATATTTGCCGCAGTCAAATTCTTTTAAGAGAGCCGATGTGGTTATTTTTAGCATCTCAACAGCTATAATCATGCATTGCTATGCACAGGAAAGGGAAGTGTTTCGCTCCAAGTACCTTAATGTTCTCGATTGGGTGTTTGGGGTGCCGCCTCCTGCTGATGAAACACCACGCAACAAAAAGAATTGAAAGCTTACAATTTCCTCCAATTTTTTGAATTTTAATTTTCTCAAACAACTACAGCAATTTGTTGTACCATATAACAGTATCAGATTGATTGATAGAAATTTTTGGAGTCATTTTATCTCATTGAGTGTCTGTTGAAACAAAGAAATATATGCATTTTAGTGATTTTCAGGCTCCTTACATACGTTTCAACATGCATATGGTAGCTTTAAATGTAAAGCAGAAGCAAATGCCAAAATCAACTAAACTAAGCAGCAAATCCTTCAAAAACAATTTTAAAACTCTTTGTTCAAGAAGGCAGTCTAGAGTTCGAAAATAAAATCGCTAATTGCATTACAACCCGAAACCCAAACTTGAATTAAAACCGCAACCATCTCAAACCTCATCTTCGAGGAGAAGCATATTAGGGATTCCCTTATTAACAGGAAACTTGCGACCCGTCTCAGGACAAACCAGAGCCCCTTCTTCTAGGTGAAGCTCCAAAAGAGCGTGATGAAATTTTCTAAGAAACTCATCAGAATCAAGCATCGATAGCTCAACCTCCTCAGGAAGCTCGTTGTAACCCATGGTTCTGCCGGCGTCGACCAAAGCTTTCCACTCGATCTTGGGAAACATGTGTCTGAGGAAATCGGGATTGAAATCGACTTCCTTTTCAGTTACTTTCTCAACTTCGATACGCAGGGGAAAGCCATTCGTCACGCCCTTTATGTTGGATGAAAGCATATTGTGAGTGAGCAGTCTCATATCTCTGCAAGTCTGCAACGAAGCTCTGCAAGCTGGTATTTCTGTTAACCGGTAATGTCCTTTAATTCCTCTTCTGCTTTATAAATCAGCCCTATGCCTTCTTGAAGGTCAATTTGGGCCACAAAATTAAGATAGGACTACTATTGTGGCCCATTTTCGTTCCTTCGTCTGGGCTTTTCAGTTAAATATTTTCTTCAGTCTTCGCACTTCATAACATTGGGTTGGCCGTCTGCTAAAAATCACGGACAACCTGAAAAATTAATAAGGGAAAAAATTTTAATGCTAAAAAAATTAATTAAACCAGTGGACGACTCCATACGTACATATACTATTTTTATTTCAGAAAGCCAAAAATTAAGCAAATGGAATAAAAAAATGCACAAAAATATTGAAAATATAGCTCCATTAAAATAAGGGTCCCCCTTGGTTCTATATGCGTTAAGTTTTTCAGTTTAATTTACTCTGTTGTTTTTTCAACTTCCCACTTGTCCGTATTAAATATCAATGTATCTAAATTTCAATTTTAAATATAAAATATATTGAATGTCAGTTTGCATAAAAATTAAAATTCTTGTATTAAATTTTTTAAAAATTAATACAGATGACACATAAATTTAAAGCGAAAAAAAAAAAACAAGTATATATGGTCATGTCATAAATTTTTCTCTCAATTCTTAGCAGTGATTTATTTTTTCTCTCCCTATTTATTTTCTTTTAACCAAATATATATGTCTTTATTTAGGTATATCTATTGGAAATATTAAGAAACAAATTTGATATATGTCTTAATTTATTTAGGTATATATGTCTTAAATTCACATGTCATCTTTTCATCATCAAAATTTGTAAAATTTGATATTGGAATTTCTTTTCATGTATAAAATGATATTGAATATGATTTATTTTATAAATTGGTATTTAATATGAGTTATTTAATAAATTGAAATTTAGACGTATGTGTTTTAATTTTAATTATTAAATTCCAAATTTACTAAAAAATTGTTATGATATTATATATTTTATTTGAAATAAATAGCTTTATAATTTGTAATATTTAAGTTTAATTTACTAAATATAGTTAAATATTTTGTAAAATTTTAACTATGATATTAAGCTATTTTTTATTTTAAGTGATAACAACAATTACAATAATTAGTTGCAATCAATATTATGATAAAAATAATTATTATATTATCTCAAAGTATATATATATGCTTTATAACAAAAATTTCACATTTCTATGGAAAATATGCTTTCATATATATATATATATGTGTGTGTGTATGATGATGTCGTTTGCCTTTCAGTAAATTGGTTTTATTGTCACTTTTCTTTTCCATATTAATTTGGAACCTCAATGCTTATTGCTACTACTGTGAATGAGCTCGAGCTTAATTCGTTTAAAAATAGTCAAATTCGAGTTTAAAATTTATGAAATCAAAACAATGTGATTCTAATGTAGGTTTATTTAATTTTGATTTCTTAAATTAGTTTGCGAAGTTGACTTTAATTAGTTTGATAAAACTGGCTCACGAGCTAATGAATTGAATTTGAGTTTTGATCATTTATTAAATTAACGAGCTAAATAATTCTATTTGATAAATTTATTAAACGAGTAAAAACAAATTTTTATTGATTCAAGTCTCAAGAATTAACCAACCTTATGTATTGCACATAAAAATTTAAGTTTGCTTCCAAACATACCTATGAATTAATTCAAAAATGACTCTTAATTGAAAATGAAACTCATCTATAAATTATGTTAGAGAATGATTCGATTGCATACAATTCACATACACATATATAGTTTTCCCACAATTAATATATTGCACGTTCTTTTTATCGGCCTCTATTTAACGCTTTAAATTTTCAATAGAATTTTTCTCTTTTGTAATTATTGTCGTATAATTATTATTTTCAATTAATTATTATAAAAACAGATACCTTGAGAAAATGAAACAACTAATTTTAACATAAAATAAAATAACTAATTTTAACATAATATGAATTGTGGTTAACAATTGTTATCATTTAAAGTAAAAAAAAAAAAAAAAGTTAATATCATAATTACAATTTACAAAATATTTAAATATTTTACTAAATTAAACTTAAATATTCCAAAATTTAAAGTTATTTATCTACAAATTTACTATATGTATATTAGAAAATAATTTTAATAAAATGTGAAATATTTACATTTAAATTATGAAAGGATTAATATTCATAAAAATTGTGATTACCACAATCCAATATCTCCAATACACATATTATATATAATTAAATCCTTAAAAAAAAAAGACCCAGAAATCCACAATTACAGTAACTCATAATTTTTTATCCAAAATCCTTCAACTTGATATGTATATCCACCACTTATATAAAGCATACCCATAAACACCACTGTAAACAATTAACCTGAGAGGAGAGACCTTATTCCTGCAAACACAAATTCAATTCATATAACTTTGGCTACAAGAAAGTGAAATAAAAAAATTATAAGAAAAGAAGAAGAAATTAAGGAAAAGAAAAACCAACCGCAATCCAGATCTTTGAGCAAGAGCCGCCTTCTCTTCTTCAGTAATCGGAGAGCACCACCGCGAAAAATCTCTATCAAAGTAATCCCAATCAGGTAAAAGCAAACCAGCAATTCCAACTATACCTATTATATAAGTTACAGCCATTTTCTTCAAAGATTGAGTCCAAATTCCTACAACGACCATAACTGCAGCCAACCAGACCAGAGATGCCCTAAGAGCTGCGTCATTATTAGCCATGTGAGGGTGCAAAGAATAAGAAAGAGGACGGTGTATAATTCTACAGGTCAAGATAAGATTATCAAAGCCTTGTCTAATGATTATTGAGTTTTGTTTGAGTTGTGCAGGAAAAAGATATAGAAGTGGTTGGGAAACTTGATGTATAATTGCGACCGGCATTAATGCACTTTCAGCGATGACACATCCTGCAACAGTGTCAATAGCTGAGTTGAGAAAATGACATATGGATGCTATCGCCGTTAATGCAATTTCTATTTTTGTATTTTTTAGGTATTATTTGGTGGCCAAAAATATAAATTCATCCAGGATTATTAACATAAAAATTATAATTATTATTTATAATTTTTTGACTTTTATTTTATTCAAGAGGGGAAAATATGTATTTATTTGTAATTATTTGCTAAAAGTATTATTATTATTATTATTTACTATGATATTTTTACTTTAATAAATTTTATTAATTTCAACTCACAAAAAATATATATATTTTTTGAAAAGAATCGTTTGCAACATCATACTGTATTTAATCAGGATGATTTCGAGTTCAGTAATTATTTTATATAATATTTAAATTAAATACCAGTTTGATTCTAAAATCATTAATCCGCTATTTTTACCAGGTCTATTAATAGGCTGCCTCTGAAAACATTAGTTTATACACGTTGATTTTTTATCTTCTTTATCAACGCAAATTCACGATATATTGTGAATTATTTTAAAATAATCTCTGAATATTTTTTATTAAAATCGAATTGTAATTTATAAAAAAGAAGAAAAGACCCGTATTTATCAATTGAATTATCGAATAAGATTCAATTTATGAAAAGAAAATAAATAATAAAAATTGTTCATCCGGTTAAAAAGACCAATCTCAAATCCTTTTGAATAAGAAAAGGAAGTCAAGACAAGACGTGCTCCAACGTCACTTTCAATGATTCCCGTGACTTCCTAATCCTTGGTGAACATGTTTGGCGAATTTAACCATTCCTATTCTCTGAGAAAAAAAAAAAAAAAAAGCCAATTTGAATCCTGTTAAGCCCTTCAATTAAGAAGATGAAAGGATGAAGCAAAGTGCAGACTGAAGCTCTCAAACAAAAGTTGGATGTGATTTTCCGGTAGGACCTAACCTATGAGAATAGAATTATTACTGTTAATTTTAATACCGATTTGGCAGTTGAATTCTGATTAGGTGTTTTACATGCATTCAATGCATAAGATTGAATAGATATCCGATACAAATGTAACAACTCCCTTTCTTCTTGTTTCTCACTAGCCAAACACACTGGTCAGGTTCGGATTATATAGTTAATTGATTTAATTTTAGTTTATAGATTTTAATAATTTCGATTTCAGTTTTTGGTTTAGCTATTAAAAAAAAAAAAAGAGTTAATTTTGAGAAAAAAGACTTTAACCAATAATTGATTCAGTTCGACTCGTATGCCGTGAAAAAGAAACGAAAAGAAAAATGTAGTTTTCGGTTTGAAACCGAATCAACCAGTTACACAACCCTTGTTTAGATCGTACTTTGTATTTTTGAAATCGGTAATCAAATCGTCCCGCGTTTCTTTCATGTTGTTCGATGCAGCGGCACACTTGGAAATTGAAAGTATTAAACGAACGACATTGTCTTCCGCTTTTTTTTTTTTGAACGTCACACTTGGTCGTTCGACGACGGTCCAAAACGACGTTGTGAATGAGTATTTTTATTTTTCTCTTTCAGCGCTTCTTGACTTGGCAGAATGTTGGAAACTAAAGCAGCTTGCATTTGAAACAACAAAAACGAGGCGGCAAAGAGAAATTACGGGTTTTAGGTTTGGACTTCTCCAAGCTGGAACTAGAAGTAGATTTCATCATCTTCTTACTTCTGGTATGGCTGCCTCTGAAGCTCCATCGATGGCATCATCGATATGCAATGCAAGCAAGGTACACTGATCTTTGTAACAATTCTTTTCCTCTAACTGGATATCTTCAATACCGCTACATATGCGTCAAACAATACATTTTTTTATTGTGATTGATGTGATGCATAATTCGAATAATTGTTGATCAATGTTCTTACTTGCCTGATCATCAGTTTTCACTCTCTTGAAATGTTGACGATCACCTCTGTCTTCCTCCATTTGAATTGATGTTATCATGGACGATTCGCTTGACGATTCGCTTGATTTTTTTTTTTTTCAAATGTTTGTAAGGAGTCCTTATATTTGAGATAATCCAAATTAAAAGAAAAACAAAGATTAATATTTGCTAATTTTGCTTGGATTGGTCTTTTGTATAGTTAGATCCGAGAGTTCAACATTTGAGAGTTATTTTTATGATTTTGGATCCGGCAAAACTTATTAGCGGCTGATATTTGTTTGTTAATCTGGAAAGTTTATGGTTCTACAACCATTTTGCTTTCCTCCATGTCTTTAACATCTTATTTGGTGGAATAGGAATAACTGCTTGTTTTTAACATTTGATGAGGATTGGAGAAATGGTTTGCAAATATAAATTCATGTCAATTTCATTGTCTTCATTACAATACCAAACTAATCAAACTACTTTTGTTGCTATTAAGATGCTGTAGACATGAAATTGAAGTTCTCAATTTCATAGTCATTATTCCAATACCAAACTATTGTTGCCATTAGGATGTTGTAGACATCAAATTGAAGTTCTCATTTACTTCTTCTTAGTTTCATGGTACTGAAAGGTTAAAGTATGGAGTTTCAAGCTTTAAACTCCTTGAAAATGGCATGGTTGTGACATTTGGTTTTCACTGTCAAATTGTAAAAGAACAGAGGCAAAAACATAAACTTTAAAATATGACCAATTGTTTCAAGCTTTCAACTTAACTCTCTTCTTTTAGCTTTGTTCTCATGTCTAAAGATATGGATTGGAAATCAAATTTGATGCTTCTTTGTGCTGAATATGCTTTCTGTAACCCAAGTTATTGGACTGTATTAGTAGAGCGCATATCTCTTCCCAAATCCACCTTCACATTGAGCCCTCAAATCCCGCTTCTTGGTAGACTCAAACAAGGCCCAAAAGCTAATGCTTTTAATTGTTACTCTTTCTAGGAGATAATGAAAAAAGTTGAGTTGTAGGCTTACTTAATATATTTGCAGAACTTCGAAAAACCGCTCTCATTTCTCTGTGACTGAATTACATTGTGTGGAGATTGTAAGAATGAACTAGCCGCTTTAAAATTGTATGGGCCAAAACATACTGTTATCTAATTTTTTTAGCAGTTCATTAATATTGGCTAATGTCTGGAGCTGATTTAGCTGTTCGTTTTAGATCTTTTTTGGATCCAGATAAATAGCAAAAAGTGCATAAATAGGTAACTTTGGGATTCCCTCCCCCTGCTATCTCATCTATTCATGGTGACATTTCCAGAGTTATTTTTGCCACAGTTTAGGGCTTGTTCTTTTGTTTGTTTTGTTGTTTCTTCATCTTGATTTACCCAAAACAAAAAGAAAGATAAATGGTAATAAACCTATATCGACTTCTCAGTGGTGCAGTCTTATATTTTTTGTATCAGTAGTTGGAAAAATAAAAAGCATGTCGGTACACCTAGTATCCACCACTTGAATTGATAGCCAACTACTTTTGTTTCTTATTAATCAATGTTTATTTTTTATTTTTTGAACTTTTTTCATTGCTGATTCCGTTAATAGTTGATAGTATGCATTATGGTTCTCAAATAACTGAGTATAAAAGTGTGTTGTATGGTAACTGTTGTCAAATTTCTCAATCAATTAAACAAGTGGGTGTACTTGTTAATTGTTTGAATGTTGTGATCAATTCACTGGTCCTTTCAAAATATATACAAAAAAATAATAATAAATATTTTGAAAACTAATTATATGACTATTTAGATTATATCTATTGCGACGTAAGAGCACAATGATCTAGCAGAATGAGCCGAGGTCTAAACCTGTGCAAATAAAAAGTTTTATCTTCATCATGAATGAAATGGATTTGTTTTGATTTCTCAGGTAATTTAAGTAAGTAAGGAACCTATAGGGTGTGCGCTGAGAGAAGCATTTGAAACTCAAATTAAAACTTGAATCTGTTCAGGATAGAAGACAACTAGCCAAAATTTCATACTGGAAATGTTCAAATTAAACTGGAAAACCTTTCTGTGCTTGAAATGGATATTGGTCCGATACCTTGAAATAGATTGAGTTATGGGACGATGGCAGCGATGGGTTTAGTTTGAGGTACAATGGCTCATTAGAGAGTACCTGCAAATCTCTTGACTCAAAACTTTAATTGGATTCTGTATATACTCTTTTATTAACTTACTGTTTTTGAATACGCAGCTTTTGGTGGAACAACCACCTTTAAAAACAAGGAAATATGGAAAATAAAGTGGGAAAAGTGGAGGCATAATAACCTCGTACAACTTTGAAATAAAAAGCTACCAACAAAACAGAAGAATAGGAACATCGATGGATCTGTCAGTTAAAGTTGTCAACCGATCAGGTGCATTGACTTAGACTAGATTTCCCATGTGTGAATCTCTTTTAAACTGATGGAGTATCTCGTGTACTAGCAGATGCATAACTGTGCAGCATCTACACCCACCTGTAGTTTGATTTTTCTTGATTCTTAATGCAACTTCCTTCAATAGCAATTAAAAATGTGAAATCAATGCACAAGTTTTTTATCCTTACGTGCTTTTTCTTTATGATTTTTTTTTTCACACCTCAACATGACTGCAACTGTCATTCTCTTTTACACTTCTCATATAACTAGATCTTGAAATTCAACTTTTATAGGTTGACCTTGAGATTTGATTTACATGCCTGCAAATTCATGATTTACAATGGACAATGCTAATACACTGGCCTGAAAAAGTTGTTATTATGTACTGGTTAACACGAGATCTTGGGTTTATGTGGTCAACTTGATATAGTCTAATCTTTACTGCTGTTTGAATCTTGACCTAAATTTGCAATAAGAAACACATAACTCAGGTAAGCATAGATAGCAGAAAAGGGATTAGTCATTAATGTTTAAAGCTTGTGAACTTCAACTAATGATTGCACTATATAATTCAGAAATCGAAACCATAAATTGTAATGTTGCTGTTGTACTATCATGTTTATTCAAATATGAAGAAGGCATTGACTGGGGCCAAATATAAGTGCTAAAAGTCC